ATTGTCCAATTTTTAAATGTTTAAAAGAAAAAATTTAAATAAGCCCTACCAGGGGCACTATAGCACAAAGAGTTTCTCTGTGGCTATCAAATATTCCATGTAGCTGGTCCTATGTAAGCACCAGGTCCTAGCCCCATACTGCAAGCTCAGGTTGCAGTATAATACTCACTGAAAGGCAGTGTATTGTGTTTGCTGCCACACGTTACTACGGCATCTTCAGCAGAGTTAGTCCAGACTGAGAAAAGCTACGTAGTTAGCAGCTAACGCTAACATTTGAGTCAATGTGATTTTCTTCTCGGTGGCGGAAAGAAAATCAAAAGAGAAATCATGTGATCAGGTTTATTACTCTACCTGCGGCTTCCAAAGGTTAAATTATTACAACAATATATACGTAAAATATACTTATTGTGCGGTAAAATGCATTGATGTGTATTTTACATTTTGCGTCTGTAGATGTTTATGGTTAAATTTTACTTTCTATTTTTGACTAATCTACAGCAATGCATCATATTCTACACGCTATTCTGTTTGCACTATTTGAGAATTTACGGTATTATTATTATTTTAGATAATTGTCTATATAATAACATATACCAAGATATATACTAAATAGTGCTATCAGTGCTTAAAAATATTAGCGTCTATGCCTGCCTCCTCCATTCAGCTTTCCTTAACCCATAGTCGATTTTTGTTATATTTCATTGAGTCTTATTTTCCTTTCACTTACCCCCTTCAAGGGGTCAGCGTGAGCTACACAGCACCTTCCCTAGGGCTTCTTCTACTTCAGCAGAGTAGTTGCTTACTACCCAGGACATTCTGGATGCCAAGTTTCTTTTACAGGTTTATAAATGCTGTCCCAACATACAAAGCTGTCATATTACCACCTGACAAAGCTGCCTCACACTGAATCTAAGCAGGTGCTGAAGGAGGAAACTTTTTGAAGAGTGGTATGACCAATCTTGTGGGGCGTTCTGCTGAACAGCCAAATGTGGAGATCCAATTAAAAGCTGATAGCGGATGTTTCATGACACCATAAAGATGGAAAACCTGGCTGGGCTGACAGCAGACTGTTACCAGGTGACTGACTTGTTTGAAGAGTAGATAAGTGAAGGGACATATGGAGATGGGTGTGAGTCTATCTGCAAGGCTGTCTTTTTAAACCAGACTTCAGAGAGAGTATAAGCCAAAAAGAGGGATGTTTCTTTAATGGTCGCAGGCAAAGTCAGTCTTTGAATGCAGCTTTGACCGACTAATTTCAATCGTGCAGGCGCTGTGTTCAAACCAAGAATCTGTCTGTTACAACATCAAAAGGCAGGGTTGTCTGAAATTAACAAAAAGCCTATACTACTGATTTTATTACAAATGGGCAATAAATTCAAATTGAATTTGCAACACAAAATCCATTAACCAGACAAAGACATTAATAAATATTGGCATTTTAAAAGAAAAGCTATTAGCAGGCACTGTGGCGTGTGTCAGAGGAGGAGGGGTGGGAGGCTTTTTGTTTTTTTTTCTGGGAATCTGTCATCTTGACCTTTATTTCTCACAGGAACATATTACAACTGACACTGCTTCACTAACAAACACACATGCGCGCGCGCACACACACACACACACACACACACACACACACACACACACACACACACACACACACACACACACAGCACTTCAGCACCAGAGGTTGGTCAGATTGTTCGACTGTGTATATCATGTTGAGCAGCACCATCTAGTGTTGCATTGAATAAATATGCTGTCATGGATTTACAGTCCTGAGGAAAGATGGTGCAGTAAAACAGGGCTGCAGTTGCTCCTCTCTGTCCAACCACTTCTGTTATAGATACTTATCTTTTCTTATGAAAAATGACTTGACTGATTTTGGTTGCTTTGGGAAAAGCTATTAGAATACAGCTCATGTAATCCCATTGCATTAATGAGAAAAACTGAAGAAACCTGATTGGAGAAAAAGACTCCATATTAAAGACAGATATTAAACTATTCCACTGCAAATTCAGTTGCCCTTGACTTAATACTTTGCATTTTGATGATAAGTAACATCACTGATTTAAAATGATTTATATTCTTCATGGGGCTTTCACCAACTCACAGAATTAACCAGACATTGCCACCTAGTGGTTGTGATATGTTGTTGCAGAACAAAGGCAAGTTTATTTTACATAGGCCAAAAAAACTTAGGGTGCTTAAACTAATTAGGGTGAATATCAGTCGATTACAATCGGTGACCGATTAATTAAGAAACTAAAGGCAATCTTTTCAATCTGTATACGGATGATCTTTCTAAAAAACTAAAAGAGAATAAGACTGGCTGTATGGTGGAGGGTCGTATTATTAACCATCTGATGATAACGGTCCACCTTTCATGCTGTGTTGAGGAACTTTATGTTCAAATGTATGTGTCGGTTAATTGAGTCAAAAAATGCAATCATAACGGCCTACACAAAGTGACACAAGGTACTCTCCTTGTCTTTGGAAGCACTGGAAGAAATGTCTGTATGTGTTCAAATCCCTTTGGACTGGATATTGTTGTCCATGTATTGTATTTTGTTCTTTTTATTTTAATATGGACATATGTGTCTGAAATAAAGTTAAATTGAATTGATAAGCATATGTTGTGGACAGTGATGGAATGTAACTTTCTACATTACTCAAGTACTATAATTAAGTACTGGTACTTGTACTTGAGTATTTTCTTCTGATGCCACTTTCTCCTTCTGCTCCACTGCATTGAAATAAATATGATGTTTTGTTGTAAATGAACTAACTACTGTACCTAACAATATATATTAGAGCTGAAATGATTGGTTGACCAGATGACTGACAGAAAGATGATGAATTATATGTAAAATAGACTTAATTTCATGGTTCTAGTTTCTCAAATGTGAGGATTTACTTTTACTAAATTAATGTTAATAATTATATTTTTAATTTACTCTTAATGTATTCAGCTCAACCAAATACAACAGTGTTTACATTAATGTAATGTTAGTAATAATTTAATATATAGTCATACAAGGACATTTTTCTTGCATTAAGTACTTTTATTTTAATAGGTCTACTTTAAATACATTTTCTTGATTATACTTTTACTTTATTCAATGTGACTTTTAGTAAAGTCACCTTTTAAAAACAGGACATTTACTTCTAATGGGATACTTTATACTAGTTTGCTATTGTTGACAGCCATTTTTTGCATACGAATATGCATGATACTATCCTAAACACATTCAACACAGTATGAGCAAACATAACAAGCGAGTATTGTCAAGTTAGCTAAAAACTCACCCTTTGCGTTGTCTTGGCCAAAGTTAGGTCAGGGTTAACATTAAAACATCCACAAGCCTAAACTGCAGCAACTTATACTTTATGACTCACTGTATTTACAAAGAAAATGCGACTAGTATGATTTACATATACTAAACACTGTGCCATAAAATTAGCAATAACGTGGTTGCTGTGTCTGAGCTTATTTGCTAGCCAACTACCGCTAAAGAAAAACCCAGCACATAGACTGCACCTTACTTTGACGAAACATGTGATTCACCCATTGACAGTATTCACCGAGCGTTTTTATTTGCAATTAACAACAAAACTGTGACAGCATAAGTTGTGCTTTGAGGGGAAATGACAACGTTTTTGGTGTTGGCTTTCATATACTATGCTATTACATACCCACCGAGCTGGAAGCGACGCTCCACCGGAGAGTCGAGGTCTCGCCTATTTTTTACCGCGAACCGCGCGCGTCTCCCCGCATAAGAGCACAGCAATATAACCTGTTAGTAGTTTCACTACAGTTTAAACTTCCGTTTCAAAATAAAAGCACTGCAGTAATATTTTATTTAACACGACTTCACCTGTCAGAGTATTTCCGGAAGTGAGCCGGATGAAGGTCAGCATCTTTCCGCAACACACACACACACTCAGAGGTCAGGGTGCTGATATTGTGCATCCTGTCACAGTGGAAAGGCTCTGCAGCACTAAACGGAATGGAACCTTAATTTAGTGCCATTAGTAACACCTGTGTTTACCCACTATTTCCTGTCAGATGGCTGCTCTGAAATGGGTCTTTTATGACACTGTTATATACAAATATAATGCACATTATGTTGTTTAATTACTGCCTAGCGAATAGCTTAAGTTTCATTGCAATTGTTTTATTAAATTATTTTAATTTAGTATTTGTTATACTGTATTATTTATTATTAAAAAATCAGCTGAGGGTACAAATTGAAGCTTGGGATAAGTTGAAACTTCTATAAGCACTTAATGCACACACATATCAGTTTGTCCTGTAGGTCCTTTTTCCAACCATGAAATCATCATATATATCAAAACATGTAAACCAGAACAGTTTAAGTTTAGTCCTGTCCTTTAGGTCATTTCATTCTTTCTGGTTTCCCATTGGTGGATTTTGTCCCTTGCTGACAAAACATCAGTGTAGAATATCTGATGCTTTTCTGTCATCATCGCCGTTTATCATGCACCTTTTAAAAAAAAAAAAAAAAAAAGATTTCCATACTTGACATCTGCCTTTAAAACTATACTGTGATCTACCCAGTGACACCCAAACACCTCTGTGTGTCTTGTACAACAAGATCAATTAACTTTCATATGTTGTTGTCTAAGATAAAGACAAAATATGATGTGGTTATGCTCACTAATCTATATCTGATATATCATTGGTGTTTCTTTTCCACTGTAGCCTAACCAGTAGTGTATTTTTTGAAGGCAGCACAGATATTGATATTTGAGAGTTTAAAGAATCTGATTTTTTCCAATTCCAGTTTCTTTTTTAGTTATCAACTTATCAGCTGACATACATCAACATATACATACACTTAATATATCTGTAATAACTTAATATTGGCAGATACATGGCCCTGGACTATTTTTTATTGGTCAGGCTCTATAAACAGTAGGTAATAATCATTAAGGGTTAAATGCACAAAACATGGACATAAGAAACAAAGCAGACAACGTGCCAGGAATAAAAAAATCTTGTATTTTTTAATTGACAGGGAAACATCCTTCAGGACAACGGTTGGTCATCACACAATAATCAGCAACAATACAATGTAGAGAGTCCGACTGTGTGTCGAGCCTTTAAACACCTCCCATGTCCCCTCCCTTCTCCCTCTGTTACAGGGAATAATGGGGGGCTTATTATTGCAGACACATTGGCTCTCCTCTGACAGACAGAACACACCTCCTCCCCTCCTTGTAAGGCTTGGGGGGTTTGGGGGTGGGGGTGCCTGGGCCAATCACTGAAGGGTTATAAAAAAAGAAAGAAAGAAAGAAAACACAAGGCTTCCGATTCATCCAAGTTAAGTTCTATCACAGTTTGAACTTTCTGGAGCCTGCTGTTGTGGCGACACTTGTGTTGTGTGAGGAGCATGATCAGCTTCACTGCGAAGCTGGACCAGCTCAGTGTCAAACCATTTTTACTATCCTTGTCCTCTGTTATAGAGCATCAGGGCTGAGGCTACTCCTACATAAAATATACATCAGTTAATTAGTTTCACCAATACCAGAGTTCTACCATGTTTAGAGTATCAGGAGGAAAAGTGAAAAAAGGTTCACCTCAACATTAAATAATGTTGGTTCTGAACAAAATAGAACCAACTAGGTTTCCATTTCTCTCTATAAAACTGTATAAAGAGGATCTCAGTCCTCATACAGTAAATAACCACCCAATATCGCATTGGACAATAAAGAATAGGGTCGTTTAATCAGTATTTTATCAGATACCAATTAATCAGAGCCCAGTGCAATTAGGTAGTCAATCTACAAATGGAAACATCTGAAAATTCAAATATCAAAATCTCTAAAACATCCAGATGATTCTTTCCCAAAAGATTTTTTTTTTTTTCTTAAATCAGAACATGCAATAGTCAAAACTGTTTCCTCAAAAACATGATTTAAATACTGAGATCCAAAGATCTGTAAATCGTAAGAACAATTATGCAGTCACTCTACCAAACTGTGTCGATTAATATGGCAATATGCTGTAGATTGGGGTTGTCTGCACTAAGAGTGAGACAGAAAGAGGCTGTCTTCAGACAACTTAAAACCTCCCATTGCGAACAATCTGTGCAGGAAGAGGACATGAAACAGGACAAAGCAGTTGCACAATGACAGTGTGTTTGAGCACATACTGTATTCAAATGGTTTTAAATCAGGGGGGGCGACCAACTGTGCCATGTACAGGAGGGAGGACAACATCTCAGAACCAAACAGATGTGCTTCTGTATGTCAGAACTGGAAGAAGAGTGCTATCAAAAGATGAACAAGCAGCAACATTTAGAAATTGTAATCTCGTTGTCCAAGAGCTTTTCATTCTGTCTTGCAACCTTCATCGAACTTTGTCTGTCATTTTTTGCCTCACTCTCACCAATCACAGGGTTGCACTGTTGTACACAAAAGGTCAAAAGTGCTGACCGTGTAGAAAAAACAAAGCTAACAGACAAGTTTCTTTCTTTTCTTATGTTTGCCCCCTACATGCATACTGCTTGGGAGATGTAAAGCTGATGAGAATGATAATCTGGATCTCCTTCTTTTCATCACCGACCTCATGTTTAAAAGGGTTTCTGCAGGTATCGGCACTCTCTTACAGCCTTTTAATGCGAGTTTAAGCATGATGTAAGACCGTGTTTTATTTGAAAAATCAGCATAAAAATGATCTGTTCTCTGTGAACGTTTTCTTTTTTATTTAATGCCCACATATTAATAAAATTCAAGCTGGTTGGTTTAATACCATTTCAGAGTTTCACCGACCTCCAGAGAGCCTTTGTCACCTAGTTAATCAATCACAAATGAAAATACCTGTCAAGATAGATACAATTTTCCATTGCACATAAGAATACTGGGCCTGTGGTGACAGCATCAAAGCACTTTGGTTTTCACTCATATCACTGAGGAGTTGTGCATGTTACATGCTGATCAGAAAAAATAAAGACGCCGTCCCAGCCAGCTGCCTTTAAAAGGGGAATAAGTAGTAGCTTACAAGCATGCTTCTTGTGTACCTGTGCCAAACCAGACTGTGCACAAAACAGAATAGAATACATATTGTGCTGTGTCGAAATAAAGGTATATGGCTTGGTAAGAAAACATTCAGCCACTGGAAGGAAAATGCTTGTCATTCTTTGTCATTCACACCTTGGGGGGGGGTTACATGAATCCATCTGTGAATAGGTTAATTTTACATAACTGATATGTAGGCGTGTTGTCTCATGCTTATCTAATATCCAATGCGGTGGGTTAAAAAGAAAATTGAGGAGTGATAAACGGGTTATTGAGTCCTCAGCAGAGATGCATGTCACTCTTTTGCTTACAGTTAACACCATCAGCGGGTGGGCCTGAGCTTTTAGAGAAATCTACACTACCTAACACTGCTTCCAGCCACACCCATGCCACTGCAGCCACACACAGGAGGCAAGTACCTATAGTAGCATGAACACTAGAGATAGAAATACTCTCAATCATCATATAAAAATGGATTTATATCATATATAGTAGTTCTACAGTATGTACGAACACAAGAATGTGGTTGTTTTATGTAGTGTGGATGTTAACTATATTTTTCACAAGTATATATTATTATTGCACTCTGGCTACACATATTTAGTAAGTTAGTTAGTTTGGTTGTCTTTAGATGTACAGAACATTAAGTGGTGTCGGAGCTGATCCAGCTTGAAAACAGCTGTAGAAGGCGGGCTCAGTGATGCCAGGTCATACTTTCTTTTTCAAGAGGATAATACTGAATTTTGTTCATATTGTATATTTTACCATGGCCAGCAGCCCGCAGAAATATTTAGCTGCTGGTTGTTATTTGATAATTTATTTGGACAAATTCATAAACAGTTGCATATAATTTACTCACTACAAGGGCAAACCCCATTTTGTTTCTTTTGGAATAACAGCCACATTTAGATTTGAATTTGTAGAGAGACAGCACACAGGTTTAGCCAGTAGTCTCAGCATATTTACACAAAATCATCAACTGTACTCTCTGCAGAGACATCGCGTGGAAAAACATCTTAAGATGAATTCGGCTTGCATGACTGAGCCCACTTCTTAAGACTGTTATTTAGACATCAAATACATAGAAATCTGAGACTAAGCTACAGAAACACATCACACCCCTGTTCTCGTCTTCCTCTTTTTCAAAATAGAAAAATAAAATCCAACTCCTCAACCTCAGCTAGCCTGTTGAGAGGAGGGTTGATCTCCTTCACTGCTCTCTCTCTCTCTCTCTCGCTCTCTCTCTCTCTCTTTGCATTTTGAAAAGAAACATACATTCACAAGAGGACAACAGAGGAAAAACAAGCAACTTGAAATTCAAATTTGTGTGCAAAAAACATTTTAGATCTCTATAAAAATATGTGCATATGGATAGAGCTATTTTTAATCTCACCAAATACAGTATTTTCCTTTATTTACACTGCACAGATACACAGATAAACATACACTACAGCTCTGCCCTGCTCCCCCTCTCTGTCGATGCAGGCGTAAGAATAACATGGCCGACTTCCATGACAACAGATTTGACAAAACTCGCACATAGGAAAACGCAGACACGCTCACTCACACACACACACTTCTGCTCTGATCAATGTGATCGAGGAGCAGAGGAGGGGCAAGCAGAACTTCTGTAGAAAACCTGAAGTTGCATATCCCACAATTCCCCCCACGCTCGCATTTCACAAACCACTTCCTGTAAAGGTCAGAGGTTATCAGCCAGACGCTGCTTCCTGATTGGCTCGCGTGGGTAGGGACAGTGTGTCAAAAAAACTTTGGCTACGGAGTTAGGTGGCTTTAGTCCTGGTGTGTTATTAGTATAAGTCCCAAACACACCATGTACAGTGGGTACTGTTTGACTGGTACAGCCTCAATGGATCTGCTGTCCCCAAGCTGGGTTTAGGAAAATTGATCCATTGTCTATTATTCTAGGATGGGACTGTACCAGTGTCTCTCTGGAAAGAATAATTAATGTCTGTTCAGTATTCATCTTAACAAAAGCAAAAAATAAAACATAAAAATCCCTCTCCCAGTAAACTTCTTTCTCTCACTTTCTCCCCAGCACCAATCTCTGCTGAGGTCAGCCGAAGCCCCTCTAATCCAACTTCAGAGATTTTGGACCAATTAATTAACTTCCTGAAGGCAATGCTCGATGCTCATTGGGCGGTCCTCCGATTCTTTGCACTGAATCCTGCACTGCTTCCCAGTCTGTTGTCGAAAGGGGATGAGCAGGTGGCTGAATCAGGGTCTGATAGGCCAGCTGACAGGCCGCTCATGTATCTGGACTGTGGTTGGTCAAAGGTGAACTGGGGGAGGGGGATGTAGTCCCCTGTGAGAGGAGAGTGCCTCGCAGCGGGGGAGAGGGAGTGTGTCTGTGAGAAAGGCATTGTGTTTGGGACAAGAGGTGCATGAGGCTGGATAAAGATGTTTGGGCTGATGGGGATGTGTGGGTGTGTAGGTGTGGATGCATGTGGTGGAGTGTATGTCTGCGTGTGCGTTGGAGTAGATGCCCGCGAGGGCGTCAGCGTGTGTGTTGGCGAGTGTGCTTGTAGTGGTACGTGGATAGGTGTGAGCACGGTGTACATCGGGGAGTGCATCTGTGAATCTGCAGAGACGTCTGGTGTGTGTGTGTTTGACTGTATGTGTGCGGTCAAGTCGTAGGACGGTGTCCTGCGTCTCAGCATCATGCTGCAGTCAGCCAGTTTTGGCGGTGAGGCATTTTGGGGGTGTTCCCTCTCTGAGGGCGGGTGGATGGATATACAAGGAGGACTCATCTTCTTCTTTCTGTGGCCGCCCCCGACTGACTGCACCCTCATGGGAAATGCCTGACCACTTTTTTCCGACCGGTGGGCCTCACGTGTGGAGTGTTGGCTGTCACTGGCGTTGACATCCTGTGGAAGGCAGACCTCGATCGAGTGGCGCCGCTGGTCGTCAGGGTGACCTGCAAACAATGATGACGGCTTGTCCAGGAAGCCCTTGTTGTCAACGCTAAAACCCTTCCTGAAGTCACGGTCTTTCAATCCCACCCCAAGCAGACTGAGTGCGCTCCTCGAGGAGGAAGGCGGCAATGGGGGAGGAAGAGGGGAGGAGTCGAGAGAGTGCGGGGTGGTGTACGGGGAGAGGGAGTGGCTGCGGCCGGCCTTCCCTCTGCTCTCCTGCCCGACCCCCTCCTCGTTTCTCCACCTTTGGGCCGAGCTGGTGATGTGATACACCTCCTCATCTGCTGGGTCACAGAAGGAGGCAGCAGAGGGTGGTCTAGGTCTCCGAAGGCTGGGAGGGCGCAGGGGGAGACGGGGGGAGGGAGGTGGAGGGAGAAGAAGCGAGGGGGAAGATGGTGGTGGAGGGAGGGGAGAGGGCGAAGACAGTAGAGGGAACAGAGGAGAGGGAGGAGGGAGTGGGAAGGCAGAAGGGGAGCTGGGTGGAAGAGAGAGGGCTGAGGGAGAGGAGGGAGGAGGAGGAGGCAGGGGAGATGGGGATGAGGTATGAGGAGAGAGGGGAGAAGGGGAGGGGGAAGGCAGTTGGATAGGGTTTGGCCTCTCCTGTTGCTCACAACCCTGAAACTCCACAGAATCCACTTTAACTGCCACCTGCAACATTAAAACACACCATGACACCTTTCATCAGTAAATCTGAATGGATGCTGACATTATAACATGTGAATGTCTGTGTAAGTATGTAGCCAGCTGAAACAGGGTCTCTCACCTGTCTGCGCAGGGCCCGTGGGGAGGGGCTAGGGGTTGGCGGGGCGATGCGGGGAAGGGTGAGGGTGGGAGGTGACCGGGGGTGAACAGGGGAAACGTCTGGTACCTGAAGCAGTGCGCGACTGTCACATGGCTGGGAGTGGACCGATGTCACTGAGCCTGAAGGTACGGATGTAAAGCGTTAAATCACACACATGATACAGTCACGTCGCTCTCATTGCAAACACGTGCATTTTTTCAGAAAACACATGCATATTCAAACACATACACACATACTGACTAATTCCTATCACTTTGGCATGATTACACTTATTATATTTGAGCAGTGTGAAAGTATACTTTCGATAACACTTTATTTTGATAGAATATTTGGATTTGGGACATTCAGTATTCATTCAAGTATTCAACGTTTTTGTTTAGTTTAGTTTTCAAATTTGCTGTCAAAATAAAGTGTTTTCTAAATGAAAAACCATTAGCACATACAGTAGGTTGCTCATCAAAACAGAATAAAGTAAGATAGCAGCTCTGAGCTGACTGTCAGGGATAGTATAGTAGGGATAGGATCATATAAGGCCAGTTGGCTGGATGTAACATTCTGCGTTAGATCCTGGTTACATTAACAGTTCCATGTGACTATATTCAGATAGTCAGGGAGTGCTAAGGTCGTGATAACAAACAGCACTCTAACGTGTGGGGTCCAAAGCAGACACCAAATACAAGTGCGATTGCAAAGAAATGAGGAGAAAGCAACTCCATCATAAATTCAATCTGTGTTTGATAACTGTTTGTGAGACTGTCTGTAACCAGGGTCTTAGGCATTCTGCACACACAGGTCCAGTTCACCTGTGAGTTCAGACGTAATCACAGTAAAACAGGTTAAAACAATGCAGCAAAGTCAGAGTTAGAGTTCATTTTCAGGTGGTACTTTCAGGCCAAGCTGTAAAGCCACACATTATAAATCAGCAACTTTTAATCTTAAAAAGTGAACAATAGACAATGGACCACAGCTGTGTTGACGACATTTTTTATGTATATCGTTTTCTGACTTTGCAGCTTGGCCTTTAAGTTAACCGTCATTCTTTTCAAGTATTCAGCCATTGCAGAGCTGAGCAGATGAGCCTGTGTGAAGGTTGCAGAGATTCACAAGGATCAGCTCATCCACTACAGTCAGTACCTTGGGACAGAGCTGGGCCTGTCCACAGCGTGGCCACAACATGCCATTAGAATCTGACTGCAGATAAAACAGTGCTTGTCAGTGCTTAAAGTCCTCAGCATGTTCATTCTGCTGCTAGCTTGTCTTGTATCTGTCTTTTTTTCTCCTTGTGTTTAAAGACCCAAGCCGGAACTGGAAGGAAAAGCACCACAAATGTCATGCAGTATGAAATTGGTGTGCATTTCCCATTGAACTGAAAATGTTACCTTACAAAGGATGATTTAAAGATGTCGACAAGATCTGTCAACAAAAGAATATTCTAAACTGTGACAAGGTTAATTTTGCCAGTGTGGTAAAGGTTACAAGATCTGTCAGATTGACATGGATCCTTCTCTGCTGACAAACTATGCTGTTGCTCTGAACCAAGTTCGCTCTTGTTCTACCTTCCACTTGATCAGCACTCCTTCAGCTTCCCTGCAGCACTGTGTTCAGTGACCATTTCTCACTGCCAGAGCCTGCACCTGTTCCCTTTCTCTGTCTAAGCTTGAATCTGTGTCTCTGCTGGAGCCCAAATCTGTTTGTCTTTCAGGTTTCTGTCCAGCTTCTATATCTACTGTACTGAATAGTCAAGTTTGAAACCATGTAATGTTAACATTAAAGATAAAAATGTACTTTGTTAGCATTCAACAGCTCTTATGATGTTTCAAATGGCTGAGACTCATGGACTATGATGTAGTTGAATGCTAGCAAAACACACATTTGGTAACTGTGCCTTTAACACTTGATTGGCATAATTAGCATCCTAAAGAGGATTTTGTAGACTTGCATTGAACTGATTGGTTGGCCTCTACCACCATAGTCAGCCTACTTGCGATGCCGTTTTCATATTTTGATCATCTTATGAATCCCAAAGGTGTAATGTATTTTGCAATAAGCTGTGATTCAGTCCCATCTTTTCCAATTTGGAAGTGCAAAGTAAGTAAAAGTAAAAAAAAATTCCGGATTGGGCCTTTAAAAGCACTGTAAACCTCAATTATTTTAACACACATTTGTCTCACATGTACAACTACAACTAAGAACTACTGGGGGACCCAAGAATCCATATAAAGTTCATTAAATCATAGCATTAGCCGACCGTAAGGATTGGTTTTAGTCTGGCACTAGAGACATGCATGCATCAAGAAACAATGTTAGTCCATGTGAAGTTTATTGAAGAGGATTAGCAAACAGTGTTAGAACAATAACAGAGGCTGTCTAATATGTAGAAAGATATAGAAAGAGATAGAGCATCAAAACTCAGTGCTGATCTCATGTACCAATATTCAAATCCTAAACAGATGAGTTACCTGAATGCTGGTGCTGGGGACTGAGATCTACCTCCTCCAAAGGGTTGGGGGCGCTGGCGGGCCGTACAGGTCGGAACATGTAGCTGTCGTTAGGCAGAGAGTGCATCCTGGATACAGACATCTTCCTTGGCGACAGCAGGTCCTGGTCACCGTACTGCACCTCTTCTTCCTATGGGGGGAGACAAAGACCGCACAGATCTAGCACTGACTGTGTCTTTATGCAGTAATCCCACTATTCCAATACACACTGTTATACAATTAATTGATTAAATGAAAAGACATGTTGAGAAACACATGTAGTGAATGCTTCTTTCTTCCATTACATATTGACTAATGAGTACAGTAAAGTTCTTCCTACCTGTCCAGGTGAATGTGGACATGGACCAACATAGGTCCCGCCCACTGAACTGTTGTTAGACGTTGTGCTTAACTTGCGCTGCCTCTCCATAGCCATTTCCAAGGCGATCTCTGCATCCATTTCTGCATCCTCTTTAGCCTCCTGCAAAAGCAGATGAGTTTTTACTTAATGACTACATTTCATAGTATATGTCGATATGCATCAAGTGTAAAAATACACAAATCATGTGGATGTACATATGTCTATATTTTTGCAAGACCATCTTTTGTGGTCTTAGCCCTTCTAGTTACTGTACCTTGTTGCTTTCCTCAAGATGTTTCATCAAAACAGCCACCACCACATTGACCAGCACAAACTGGGCCATGAGCACAAAGGTGACAAAGTAAATCGGAGAGACCAAGGGCAGGTAGGTGAGACACTGACGGTCCTCTTTACGACACTCCCTTAACGTGTCCTTAAAAGACACAGAGAAAGATTCAAAAGGGAAGAGGGACAGAATGGAGATAAATAGAAACAGTAATCACCAGTTATTATAGGTGGATATGCTCAATTGGACAACTACCTGTCCAATACATCACAGGCTACATTAAAAAAAGAAGGAGAAAAAAAAGGACAGTGGGAGTGAACTAGGGTAACAGAGCGTGTGCTGAAAGTGCAGCTGCCGTAACACTTTATACAGTGCAGGTGTAGAACTGATATAACAATAACTGAACAGCTCTCCCCTGTGCACTTGACACAAATAGCCAAATACATAAATGTGAGTTTTTTCCTTGCACAAAGACACATGTTTATGTGTATATGTATGAAAGAAAGAGACATAAATAAATAGATAAGAGAAAAGCAGTAATTCTAAAATGTTGTTTTTTTTAAAGGAACAAAGAAAGGAAAAGGAAGAGAGAGTAAAAAATGGTGGAGGTTGTTTTGCCTTTGAGGACAGCACTGATGGCAACCCTGAACAGTAATCATTGCAGCTAGTGTGGTAAGGGCACACTAGATTAGTTTGTTTAAATAATGATGTCCTTTACAAGCAGCAACATCCTCCCGCTGCTGCCAGTGGCTGAGCCAGGGGTGCAGCTTTATCCCCATCTCAGGATGGGTTTGTGACAAACATTACAGTTTAACATATTCTGAAAAGATTCTATCCCCGATGAATCCACAGAAATTCAGCATTATATCATGACGAATCTGCAAGAAATTAACAACAGTATGCTTGTAATTCATATTATTGTTTTTTTTAACACCAATAAGCAAACAAGGAAAAGTTATTCTTAATATTGTCCCTGTTTACCTGTTTATATCAATTGTATGAAAATGTTAAGGGTGATTATAGCATAGATCACATTTTTTTAATAAAGTACAAGCCAAGATGTGAAAGTGTTGACATTGTTCAGCTCTAAGCCACTTTACTATTTCATAATTGGTTTTGGAGGTCATTGCTCTCTCTGTGCTTATGAGATAATACAGTCATCATTTGTGTGTGTGTGTGTGTGTGTGTGTGTGTGTGTGTGTGTGTGTGTGTGTGTGTGTGTGTGTGTGTGTGTTCATACTTTCATAATCCCATTCCAGTTGTCTCCAGTGGACACTCGAAACAGTGTGAGGAAGGCCATCCCAAAGTTCTCAAAGGTCGCGTGACGACTCAGACCCTCGCATGGGTTGCTGTCATTGCACTCTATTCAACACACAAACACAGAAAGACATTAATTACAATACACTATAGACATGGAATATAATAATAATAATAATAATAATAATAATAATAATACAGGGATAAAAGTGAGTGTAAATTATCATATAAGTGCCTAATGTAGTGAAAGCAGTGTGCACTGAACCCACAAACAGCTGCTAAGCAGTGTGTCCCTATGGACATGACAGAGGAGAGGCGAGGAGATAGCCGTCTTCTGGAGGACAGGGAAAGTCTCTATCAGTCTCAGGGTCAATTTGACAGAAAGCCCTCAGGAGCCTGTTAACAGAATCATAACAGCCACCAGAAGATAGCCTCCTTTGTTTGGAAGCCCAGGTCACATTAGCAGGAAGCTTGAGAGGAACTAGACAGTCCTTGGAGTATTATGTACCTTGTTTCTTATTCTAAGGATTACCAACCAGCAGGAGAAAAATGAGAGGTTTTCAGAACGCCAGTATGGCTCAGAGGAACTGAATAGCATCACTTTCTATAATCATAAATCTAACATACAAGCAGTAGCCATTTTATTAAGAGACAAAACAATAATGCCATAGATTTTTATAAGATATAAAAAGGACAGAGAGAAGGCGCAGGAATATGGGACAGCTTGATATATAGCTAAAAATGTATGTGCTATCATCAGTTCCTTCTTCTCTCCAAGTCTGAGTCATGGCCTACTGGCAAGAGGATGGGGGTGGAAACGAGCATTCATCTGGGCTTTAGGTTTCAAGAGATCAGTAATTTGATTTAGATTCAAACTGAAATAGATACAGTATCAACATGCTCAAACACCTGCTATTGCAACAGTATTAACATTCAAATGCTCATTCCAGCCTCCTTTTTATATTTCCCTTGCCTATGACCTTCTCTTATCTGTTCAGCCTTCTGCAGACTCCATGGTCACAGAGTTCAGACTCCCGGAGTGCCAACATAGAGTGTCACAGAGACTGGGCGAGGTGCAAGGGAAGAAAGGCACAACACACTGTACCCTCCAGTTGTGACAAAGCAAACATTTGTCCAACACAATATGACAATAATAAACATGTGGATGTGAAATAATCTTCCCCAAGCTGTAATGCAATATTCTCACCAATTTTATTTCATCTACCAGCCTGTACCTTAAAAAAGCAATTCACTCCTCCAGCTTTGAAACAGCTTTTAAAGTGAGGCACCGACAGGGAAAAGAAGGCGTTCGGCACATCTAAAATCTTTTGTCAGGAGCTTGACAAAAGCAAAAAATCATAGCGGTAAATGGAGAGGGATTTGTACTTTATAAAACAGGAAAACAGACATCCATTCGTTTCCCCAATGTGTCGAGCAGAAGCATAACAACATTTCACAGAAAGCAACCTCTTCATCACCAAGTTGTTTTCATTCTGTCCTCCCGGATGCTTTCTTTTTTGCTAATCCTCTCCCCTCACACATTGTTGCGGTCTCAGAGAAAATGAGTTAGATGGAGCCGGCCTATTGAGGAAGCAATTCGTAAATAAATGTGATCATGCAAATGTGATCTTTTCTTGTTAGAAACGGGCATCTGATGTGATGTGAGCGGTGGGAGAAAGAGAGACAGCGAGACAGATGGGGGTACAGAGTGAGGAATCAGCAGAGACAGTTCAGGCAGGGAAATTTGCTGTAAGTCGTGACTGTGGTAATAATGAGTAAATTCAAAAACCTTTTCTGCTGCAGCTTGTAGACCGCATGTGTGTGTGTGTGTGTGTGTGTGTGTGTGTGCTTTCTGACAGCACTGTGACTGACCCAGTTTGCCAAAGAGCTCCACTCCCAGCGCAGCGTAGATGAAGAACAGCAGCATGAAGAGGAGACCAAGATTTCCCACCTGGAAGCAATGTGTGTAAATATTACTTGTTTAAAGCTGCAGGCAATAGAAGACATTAAGATTCATTGCATCGTATTCATTCCATTTGACACTAACCTAACCATGCGTTATGATTTCATTCATAATAGAACATATTTACAAAAATGTCTTGCATTGAAGTAAACTTTTTGCTATTGACATATTCTCTAAATAGGCTGACACACATTAACCTAAGACACGTGCATTTATATACAGCACCATGCTTAATTAATTAATTCAGTTTACTCAGCAACTAAACTGATAGACTGTTATTACCTTAGCTGAAATGAACAGGCAGGCATGTTTTCTGTGTTACTTTTTGCCAGTTTTTTTTGCCAGCTTTGACATTTTCTATCAAAAGTCTGACCTGAGTTACTGACAGCAGCTTTCTACTCAGTTCACTAAAAAAGTGAACCTGAAGTGCTCCAGTATTTCTGGGCAGATCCTGTGAACTTCCCTGCACTTCCTATAACTACGTCTGCTTCATACCATCGGAAAGTTCCCAGCATGTTGTCGCTTATCCAGTTCCTTAAAACCTGTTCTTGTGCACTCTGTGCCCTGACGGTTATATGTGCACTCTTGACATTTAGAAAATAGCAGAACAATGGAGTCTGTCACTGCATGTGCATCATAATCTTTGGTGCAGCTGCTCTTTGCCTCCAAGAACTATGCCAGGCAGCAGGAGAGAGACCTGAGGTACTCCCACAACATCCGTGCACATGCACATAAAAGGAGCGTGTTGACTGAATAGAAAAAGCGCATAGAGTAACATCAGGCTGGAAGTCGGCCATCTAGTCTGACTCAGCGCAGCTCTGCGTTTAAGGTCCAATCCATGCAAAAATGCTGTATGAAGTGACCCTCTCTTAGAATCGTTAATTCAACTGACATCTTTGAGGCCACCATGTCCTCAGCTGCACCGTCTACTTTTATTGTGCCTTTAGAGATTAGTAACAAAGCAGATGAGTATTGCTTGTTTGTTGCTGTCAGATGTTCAATGTTAAGACATTGCTAAATAATGCTGTTATTTGTGACGTTTCACCTTTATTATCATGCACATTTAATGATAAAATCATGCACAATGCCGAGCTGTAGAGAGGTAGGAGAGGGCATGTACACAATGAGACGTTTGAGGTTCAGCAAACAAATTTTGTAACATGGACGGATATGACTTGAGTTAAATATTCATCAGCAAGCATAAATCTTTCAGAGAGCTGTCTATTCCAAACAAAACCTTCATATTTAACCCATATTCATAAAAAAGAAAAATCATAAATAAAACAAAATCACTCTTTCGTATCTCGCATTGTGTGTTTACCTGTGGCAGAGCTTGCATGACAGTATCTAGAAGAGCTCTCATCCCTGTGGCCATCTTCAGAAGTTTCAGTACTGCAGAAAGAGAGTGGAGGAGCTAGTTGTTGTTGCTGGTTTCGGTTGGACCTATTTGCTGCAGAATTTACAGTGACATGGCGGAATATGGTACAGCAGGGAGGCACTCAGATTTGTACTGTATCTATTTCTAGAAGCCAGGAAGCATCTGAAAACAATATACAATTTAAAAAATAGGGATATAAAGTGTGTGTGTGTGTGTGTGTGTGTGTGTGTGTGTGTGTGTGTGTGTGTGTGTGTGTGTGTGTTTCTACCTCGTGCTATTCTGAGTACCCTCATGATTCTGATGATGGTAGGATTTATAGGCAGTGCTGCGCTCATTTTCAGCTCCTCCAGGGTGATGCCCATGATGGACAATGCAACTATAGCTATGTCCAGCTGATTCCACCTAAACACACATAAAAACATTGTTCAACATTACCTCGCGTTACCCCAGTTTATTATTGCGAAGTACATGTGCAGCCTGAGTTAACTCAGAGCTGCGGCAGGGCACCCTGAGACAAGGAGCCATCCAAGTATAAAGCTAGGGGGCTAATACACGTACTCATGGAGCAGGAGTTATAATTTCACGCCACATATATTGCAATTAGGAAATAATGGCATTATAGTCCATAAATAACTAGTTCATTTTACAGCATTAGTTTTTGTGCATAATCACATCCCACTGTGGTACCTGTCTTTGAAGAACCTGTGTATGCCGAATGCCGCAAGTTTGAGAATGGCCTCGATGACAAAGATGCAGGTAAACACGTAGTTGCAGTACTTCAGAACCTCCTCTAAATACTGAACATACAGACAGAATTATTTTATAGCATCTCTCATAGCTTTAATTTTGTAAATAAAACAAGGAACATGTTCTGAAAGCTGTGAATAATGAAAATAAATGTAAAAAAAAATCAATCTAAATTCAAGTTTATTTGCAAACAAAGTAAATTCTTATTAGACTATGGGAGTGCTGTGTTAAAAATGAAAGGAGCTTATGGGTACCTTGGTTCCTTCTTCCTCCAGCGAACTATAATATGTGTCTCTGTGTGCAGAAACGTTACCTGCGGCTGATTGTAGTGCTCAATGCTCATGGTGAAGACATTGATGCAGATGATGAAGGTGATGAAGAGGTCCAGGTAGTGGCTGGTACACAGTGTGTGGATGGACAGACGCAGGGGAGAGTAGTCCGCATAGTAAGGTCTCTGCTTGGCCTCTGGAGCACACAAACAAACAAATATATACAAAGACGACAATTTTTCAAACAAAGACAGACAGAGACAGTGCAACTGTGAGTAACTGTGCTCTGAAATTGAAATATTACATGTGTCCAGTGGTGTGCACAGGAAGGTGCAGGGCCAAGGGAGGGGAATTTGCCACTACTGAGGCTACAAAAGTTCCCTTCTTATACTCTTATTCAGCTAATATATGCTTTGCCTTAATGAGATTCTACTATTTTTGGCATCTCAAGCACTACTCTACTAACCCTGGTCACAGTGGCGGTGTCATGTTTTCATTATCACCCCTGCCCCGCAGACAGTCTGTGCACATCACTGCCTGTGTGGTATGTTCAAATAAGAGAGGACATGAGAGTCACGGTGGGCTATATCATTCTTTTCATAATAATCCTTTTCATGATATAAATGGATCACAATTTAAGGCCGTTTATTAGCTCAAATGACTCATTCTTGGATACATATTACTATAACATCTCCTCACCTAGAAGTCACCTGGTTTTGTGTTTGTGTAAGTTATGTCAAGTGCAGCTTGAGGACAGAATGTTTAAGATGCTACACACTGCAACTGAACAGTGCTCACGTAAAAAACACTGTCTTTTTTATAATTTTTTCCCCCCCTGTTGTGGTAACACAAGAAGAAACCAGGTGTAACTAAGAAAGTCTGGTCTGGTATTTGTTGCCAGACAACTACTGCCTTGCGTAACCCTGTATAAGACTAAAAGAAGTGGCAAAATTGTGTATTTCTGGAAAAATCACAATGCTCCTTTAATAGAAGAATTTTTACAAGATTCTTTGCCTCTCCAATAGTTATATTCTTGTCATGGTAGAGAAGTCTCTGCTATGTATCAATAGAGGAGTAAAGGTTTCTATTAAAACCCAGACTACACTCTATACTTTTTGACAGGTGCGTTGCTCCTCCTTAGAAGGGAACGGTGAGACTGCCTTTGAATAGTAAACAGACTTTAAGAGTAGCTGTTATCATGAATAAAGCTCAGCGGTGGACAAAGCTGAGTAATATCCGAGTAATACCTCATTAAGAGGTGCTCGTGTGAATGTTTGGAACTATGTCTGTGCACTCGCATGTCCATATTTGACAACTGATGATTGTATTTGTGTGTGTGCGTGCATTTTAATGTCACCCTCCCAAGTACATCATGCTTACATGCCTTCGATGTAAAGGGTAATGTTTGTGGTTTACAGGGGCTGTGCAGAGTGTGTTCAACAACACATATTTTCCCAAACAGGGTCATTAATGAGTGAAATGTTGAAATGTTTCTAAGTAAGTATTCATTGAATCAATACTTATCTATTTATTAAATCTATCCATATTGCTTTAATTAGTCAATAGTTGCAGAACGTGACTGTGATGTTGAACACACGCTGCAGCCACTCTTCTTTTCAATGACATCAATAGTCATTTTAACCCATCAGATGTCAATAGTCTAAAACTTTTTGCCATTTTTTTTTTTCTTTTTTGATCGATGAGTAGACTCATTGCAAGGCCAAACACTGGAGTTTTTTTTTCTGATTAGATGACATTTGTCTGGACATTTACAGTTTTAGACTATTGAGACGTGTTACAAAGACAGGATGAAAAGAGCGGCGCTCTGCTCACACCATATACTGCCTTCTGGTGTCATTCTGTGATTGATGTGTTTGGTCGTTGGATATAATTTTGTGCTGTGGCCAGATCACGGTGCTCTTACATGTTTCTGTGTCTGCCAATGAAAACCGTGTGCTTCTACTCATTTCTTTTTATCTTTACTTCAGCTCAACATGTTACCACAATAAAAGAACAAGTCCTCACAAAACACTGATTTGTAATGTGAGCATTTGGACTTGTTTTTTGCAATAGGTGGTGTGTTAGAATGTGATTGTATTTTCTACAATCTGTTACTAGGTAACTACCTAAACATTGTCTAAAAGCTCAAGATATTACCCAAGATATTTGCAGATATAGCAGCCAAAACGTCTGCTATGTTTCTGAGTCTGCCAGTCAAAGCATGTTTAGAGGAAATGTCCTTCTTCTACCCGTGTCGAGAGACGCCTCAGGGTGTACATGCACTCGAGGGGAAGGGGGGCACTGGAATTTCACCGATCAAAATTTTGCTAGCAAAATTTCTCGAGACACATGGAGGAAAGGATCAACCTCGATCAGCTTCACATGCAGGAGGTGCTGCGAAAGTTTTTTTCAATAGTACTGAAGCCTACAAAAAAATTTAACATTTAATCTTTCTCATTGTGCATTATGAATGGTAATAAAACAGGGTTTGATATGAAAGAATATAATATAAGCATTTGAAGGAGGAAAAAGAGACTAGTGAGTACTGTATTATTGCTATAGTGATTTTGTACACTACAATGGTGGCAGTTCTGTTTTTAAAAGAGTGAGCAATCTAATTTTTTGATGGATTCATACTAATGTAGAGTTAAGAGGTTGGTTAGGTTGGCCCGGTTTCAGAAGTTTTCCATGCACTGTTAGGCGAGGGTCGGGAAAGGGCTGCAGTCATGCAGTTACATGCGTCAGACTGGCGTAGCCTACGCCTTCTGTCAGTGATCAATCACTGTTTGCGTGAGCTAGCCAGTCTTTCAAACTCTCCCTATTTTTTATGTTAAAGTCTGAATATATTTCCCTGTTTTCTCTCTCTCTCTCTCATTCTCTTTCTCTTTTTTTCAGGCTCTGAAAGCAGGCAGTGCTCAGAAAAATAGACTACCGACCAGCCCCTCCATTCTCCTTACTCCTGCGCTTTTTCTCTATCATTTTGAGCCTCTTCTCTTCTCGTAAGCGGGCCTCCTCCTCTTCCTGGTCTTGCCGGCACTTGTGGAAGTTCTCCACCACCACGCCGACAAACATATTGAGGACGAAGAAGCTGACGATGAGTAGGAAGGAGATGAAGTAGAGCAGCATCCAGGGGTTGTGGTTCCGTACAGGCTGAGAAGAGAGGAGCAGAGTAAAGAGGATTAAGCTTTTTAATAGTTTTTGTCCATGTCTGTATTGCTTAGTAAAGACACAAAACAGCCAGCTCTGACAACTATGTTTAACTCCTTGTGCTTTTGACCTGGTTCGAGCAGGCAAGTGACACAAATCCCGAATGCCAAGCTGCCAGTGCAATGCTTCACAGTCTGTAATCACATACAGTAAGTAGAACAATGTGAATTCTCTGAAAATACTTGGATAACTTTGTGTCAACTTTCCAGAATTCAAAAGGATATTTTCATTGTCTTGATGATATCACAATTAAAAATTTCTAGACACTTGATTTATTATGCAAATTTGACTTTCAGCACATTACACCACAGGCAGTCCTGGATCTGAGGAGAGCCTCATCAACTCGAAGCTTTGAAGTTCCTGCTCTAATCTTCTCTTTCAAGCCTTGCTTTTGCTTGGAATCTGTTATAAAGCCCCACTGTCATTTAACTTTGCTCATTCTTAAACATTAATTTGATTGTTCACTCCCGCTCTGTGGCATTTTAACTCAATGTGTGTTTGACAATTCTACCACTAAGGCAACTTTTAAGGCAGGTATTTGCACACGCTGATGTCTAAGCTTCCAATAGAGATTACAATGTTCCATAACATGCATTATCTATACACAGTAAAAAAGGCCACAGTACACCCATGATTGGAAATGGATCAGGCTTCATGTAGCTCATACCGAGCCATGCACAACTGTTTGAAACCAGTTCGGGATGGCTCGGTACATTCCTCACATCATTACCTGTTGGTCCACTCCCACCGCATCCAGCCCGTCATACATGATGTTGACCCAGCCATCCTTACAGGACAGCACAAACAAAGACATCAGAGCCTAGAAGGGAAACACAGAAAAATAAGTCAAAACACAGGAATTTTCCTGGTCCTAATATTATTACACTAGGAGACTGGTCACAGTATGAACATAGCATCTTGTGCAATGTTAGCCTGTAAGTATCCCTCCCAATGATAATCAGCGGCTGACAGTACAAAATAGATATTATATTTAGTCTTGATAGTAGATTTGATATTGGTTTGAAAATAATGCTTCTAATTATAATATGACTTTTTACTTTTTATAAAATACAGTAAGGAACAGTGATTTTTCAAATTGTCTAAATGTAAAGTAAATAATCACATTCTTAAAGTGATATATGTGTGTATATATCACCTTATAGGTGGATGAACATTTTATACATAAAAACACACATTTCCTACTGTATTTTATTTTCTGTTTCATACTGTACCACTCCTGTCACCATAGACCCCTTCGAGGAGCCTAAGCCACTAATGTATTTACCGCAATCAATACAAAGTTTACTGCTGCTCTGACTCTTGAATTACTTTAAATGAGGCAAAACAAACTTTTTATTAGTAGTGTTCTGCTAGCTAATGTTTTTTCTTAGATTGTGTTTGCCTGGACACTAATCTCCTTCCCTACATCCCACTCCTCCCCTTTCTTACCCTCGGTCCATTAATTCGCACCTGAATAAGGTTGTCAAAGTTGTACTTCCTTCGTATCCAGCGGTAGCTGGCCTGCAGACAGTCAGACTTGTTGGTGATGTTTTTGGTGTCCAGACCCTCACAGTGGTAGAACTTCCCTTTGAACAGCTAGAGAGACAGAGAGAGAGAGGCAGAGATAGAGAGCGAGGTCTGCGGGGCTATTTGGCTGCCATTTACACATTATCTCGATTGCACTGGAGCTTGGGGCTTTTTAAACAACAGACTATTAATGCCAGGAATAAAAGGACGTTTCATGGAGCACATTCTTATCAGAGCTAAAAGCTGACCTGGGGGTCATGTTGTCCCTTTTCACACTTAATCTAATTGTCATTCTTTCAAAACTCACGCTCTTTAGCAACAAAAGCAAACTGTCTTTTGTATGTGCAAGACACATCCCCCCTCAAGAAACAATCACAGATGCAGCCGCTCAACAAGACTGACATTTAAGCTACGAAGGGTAAAAGGCTTTGTCCTCAAGCTTAGAAAAAGCAAATGACTGCAAATACTGCTTTGAGTATCATCAGTGCAGCGTGTGCATTGAATCCTTTCCTACATGTAATGAAATTGTGACTTGTTTAAAGCGAGCACCAGTTTGTGTGTGTTACGCAGTGTGAATGCAAATTACCTGCACTCCCAAGATGCCAAAGACGATAAAGAAGGCGCAGCAGATAAGGACAATATTCCCAATGGGTCTGAGAGAGGTGATGAGTGTCTCCACAACCAGCTTTAGTCCTGGGGCTCGGCTGATCACCCTGGAAGACAGAGTTTGTTAGTACGAGCACATATAGTCCAGTCTACTACAGACACAAATACAAGCAATAGAAATATGAAATAAGATGGGATGCTTCCTGTATGTGTGGTGCTTACATACAGACATACAGTATATATGTCTCCACAGAAACTAATAACCAACACCTACACACACACACACACACACACACACACACACACACACACACACACACACACACACACAAATACTCTATGTACCTTAGTGGGCGTAGTGTCCGTAACAGGCGTAGGACTCTGAGGATCCCCAGGATCCTGTTTCCGCCAGTATAGGCCAGAGAGACCAGAATATCGACCAGAGACACAAACACCAACAAACCATCCAGAACGTTCCAGCTGGACTGGAGGTAGGTCTGCTTCCCAAAGCAGAAACCGAGAGCTACAACCTGTCGAATCCAACCCGAAATTATCAAAACATAACTTAAGCTATAACTACAGAGTTACTGATGCAGAATTAACATTAAAAACATTTACTTAGCGCATACTATAAACCAGTGTTTCCCTAATATCAGTCATGCACAATTCCTAAAATAATTATACTATAAGTTAAGTACTATAAGTCCATAGTGGACAACGCAGAGGAGTGTGTCAGTGGCAGACTGCTGTCCCAATCGAGCTCCACCAACAGACTCCAAAACTCTTTCGTCCCCCTGGCCATCAGACTGTACAACAGCTCTTAGTCAAGGCAGGGAGGACAATAAACAATAGATAATGGACAATTTCTACCTCCATTTGCACTCCATTGCACTCCACTCCATTTGCAGTGTTTACTGTTTGCACTGTTTCCTGTAGCTACTGTGTTATAAGTTTATTATATTTTATTTTTATTTTTAGTTTAATGTACGTTTAATGTATTGAATATGTTTTGTTTTGTATGCTACTGGATACTTGAATTTCCCTCGGGATAAATAAAGTATCTATCTATCTATCTATCTATCTATCTATCTATCTATCTATCTATCTATCTATCTATCTATCTATCTATCTATCTATCTAAGTTAAAAATAAACCACATTTTAGATTCAATATACCTTTTTCCCATGCAATCATAAACCGCTGTAAACTCTCAACAGCAGTAAAAGCTCTGGATGATTCACCACACTGATGGAAATAAAACTGTGATGTTTACCTTAATGGCCATCTCTGCCAGGAAGATCACAGTGAAAACGTAGTTGGACACACTCAGAAACACTCGCTCCTAAAGAAGAGAGTGAAACAAGAATATATATGTATATATATATATATATATATATATATATATATATATATATATATATATAAATGTAACTGTTGCGTACTAGACATTTTGTATTCATAACAGAACATGTTCTCTCTAAACGGAGCAAGTACCAGCTGCTTTATACAATTAGCCTGTTATTTTAAGGGAGTCATGTATTGTATCTGTGTGCCTACAGTTTGCCCACTGAGGTAAATCAGCCCCAAAAGCCTCCAGTCAGTTTTATGTGCAGGGAACTTTTCTATTGGGTCTTGTTTCACATTTCAGCACTAAGTAACCAGTGTAAATCAGTGAAAGGTTTCTCTAGATATTTCTGTGAAATGGACAGGACAAAAAGATCTTTCAGGCAACCAAAACAGTTTCACATGGTGAGCCTATAAAAGCAGGTATTCATTTGAAAGCTCAGTAAATTATGAAATAACTGAATCCACTGGTTACAACTGAATAAAAGATTCTGTTTTGGGTTTACTGTTTTATATTTACCTGTAAATAACTCCACTTCAGTGTAGAAAGTTGCATTCAGGAATAAGGAAGTGTTTTAAGACTGAAAAGCATTTAGACACCTTGTACAGTAAGGGTGTGTGTGTGTGTGTGTGTGTGTGTGTGTGTGTGTGTGTGTGTGTGTGTGTGTGTGTGTGTGTGTGTGCGTGTGTGCGTGTGTGTCTGTCTGTCTTACCGTGCTGTGAGGCTGTATATCAGGTCTTTCCAGGGCAATGGTGATGCAGTTGAGGAAGATGAAAACCAGAACCACATGGTCGAACAATTTGTGAGAGATCACACTTTGGCACCACACACGGCACCTAAACACACAAAAGCGCAGAGTCATCTATTACATGTCTACGGTTGGTTAAAGGTATTGACCAAACAATTAGTGGTGAGAAAGCAGTAAAGATAAGAAAGATAAATGGGAAAGGGGAACCACGATAATTATGTAAAAAAGAGGAAAGAGGGAGTAAGAAATCCAACTGAAACTAGAACCATACAGATTAATGTTGACATTTTAAATATATGTGTGCATATGTGTGTGTGTGTGTATGTGTGTGTGTGTGTGTGAGACTCACATGTTGTCTGGAGAGAACAAATACAGCGTCCAGTCTTCATGCTCTTTGCACCAGTGGGGTTTCATGTTACGGAGCCGTTTTTTGATCCAGTGGCACATAGAACTCTGCAGAGGTGAGAGATCAAACATGCACATTATCGCCAATGGCAACTGTGGAAATCATCAATATATATTGTTACCAACATTTTTATTGTCAGCGGTGAAATCATTACCTTTATTACACCATCAGCACCAAAGCTACAGTCATTACCATCATAATCATGCTGTCATTGGTCTACTCGAGGTAAAACACAGTATTACTGTGTAATGGGTCATTTTTACCCATTTTAGGCTGGCGGTTCTAGTGTTAAACACCTTTTTAAAAACTACTTAGATATTACATACACAATATGGAAGCCTCAGCTGTGTGGAGTACATGTGTTTCCCTATTTTTAAAAACAGATTTTATTAAATATTATCAAATGCATTTTGCATTTAAAACAACAGCCGTACTATGAGAAATTTACTTTCCCAATTAACAATAACACCACAAAAAGCGTTCAAAAACAATACTTAGTTTAATCTGAGTTTCCACAGAGTTGCTGATGTTAGCACTTTAAATCTATGGGGGCACAATAAACAAGCGTTTTCTTGCATAAGTAGAGATGGTGGTAACTGGACCACAACAGGCAGACTCCCAGCTTAGCTAGTAGAAAGTGTTTGTGAAACTCATTAAAGTTTCTAATAAAACAAACATTAGAGAGCTTAGGTGTGCAGCTTCTGTACTTCAGGATTCTAATTAAAAACAGCCCAAAGTCAAGCCTCTCAAACATCGCTTATTTGGCAGACTGCCGCTGGTGCGATTGTGTGCGCATCCCTGCGTGTCTTTCCGTGTGTGTGTGTGTGTGTGTATGTGAGTGTCCAAGTGTGAGTGTGTGTTTAAACTGGATAAAAAGAACCTGCTGCTCATGGATATCCTTGTTGCTGAAATCCATAATCCTTGACATAGACACACATGGAGAACCACGTGGATATACACGTCTCAGCTGGCATGTCACACGCACACACCGATGCATGCTCTTGCTTGTGCACATGCAACACACACATCCACGTACGTGCATACACTGGTAGAGGGTCTGTTTTGCCTCCCATATTCAGTGTGTCCAGGGAGAGGCCTTTTGTTCTGGAGAATTTCATGGCTGTATAAACTCAACTGGAAGGCAATAAAACCATCAAGACCGTCGCAGCAGAGGTCATCCAAAACCACCGTGAAGTACACCCTTCTCCACTTCAAACACTCTTAATGTACAACCACACTGACTGCACATACACCAGTTGTTTTGTACCCACTGAGAAAACAATTACTGGCCCTAGCAAATCAATTACAGCATGACAATTAGTGTCTCTCTAGGTCTTGCAGTGTGAACACAAGAGGAAAAAGGGCAAAGAAAACAAAAACAAATTGGCTAAGTACAAAAAAGAGAAAAAAGAGAAAAAAGTGAAATAAACTGTGTAAACAGAGTCACAGAGGGCAGATTAGGAGATTAAGAATGTACACAAGAGAGCTAAACCACGGAGGCTCAAATGCTTAGCAAACGTGTCACCAGGCTTATAAAACCCTACCCAATTTCTCTCTCAGGTTATTTTGAAAGTTACGACTCATGACAACTTACGTCATCATCCATGTCGTCCTCAGGCGAGGAGTCGTCCTTGGGGTCAGAGTTCACGTTCGGATCATAGGTCTGGGTCCTCCCGTTACAGTCGCCATACTCCATCACTATGGAAGGGCAGAGCGTGGACGCCTGCAGCAGCTCCAGGGTCTCCGGCCGTAGTCTGTTGTTCCCCCCGGCCTCGTCCCTGTCCTCACCACTATCTTCCTCTTCCCCACCCTCCCCAGACAACAGGCTCTCTCTCTCCCCGCTCGTGTCTCGCCTTTTGAGGCTCGGCGCCCTTCCCAGGCTGTTCCAGCTGGAGCGTCGGCTTCCCCATGAGCGGGGAGGAAGAGGGGAGCGCCGTCCGGGACTTGAGAGGCTCTTCAGAGACAGGAAACAGAGGGAGAGCAAAGTGTAAGGCTATGACAGTATGTGTGTCTGTGCAAGAGTTGCTTCGAAAGTGCTACCTGGCGATGGTAAAAAAGTAATTATCAAAAGTTAGTGATGATATTATGATGATGTGAGTTTGATAGAAAGTTTCAGGATTGTTCCTAGAATCAGAGACAAAGGGCTTCTGTCTTGAGATATTTTCCCCAGGGGTGGAGTTATTTTCCATAATTCCAAAATGTTCTTACTATTCACATGCTAGTTGACTACAGGATAAAATGTTATGCCCATATGCTCACCTTCATTGAATATTTCAGGTTCAAAAGATCGTTCCTTCCCTCTGAGCTAACACCAACTAATGATTGTCTATATATTACCAGATATTGCTTCAGGCATCCATGATTTCCTTGTAGAATAAACTCTACCTGGGATTTAGCACCTTGACTCTATCTCTGTGTCTTAAACATAGGCCTACTCTATAAATAAAACTGCCTTAGCTTGCTTTGCATTGGGCGTCCCACTATAGACAGTTATGTAGACTGGAAACTGAATTAATATGGTATGGTGAAGCTGCAAAATTTGGATTACTACTCAAAAAAATATGATAAAAAGTCGTTTAAAAATAGGACTGTGAAATGTGCTGCTTCTCAGTCCTCTGAGCAGAATTTAGGGAATTAAGAAGTCCTTCATGGTAGCGGATCTGACTGATTTCTGGGTCACCCGTAGATTGAAACATTTAAAGCCTGTGATTAACTCCAATGTTACCTCCTGGGAAATGAGTCATTGGTTCTTCAGGCCCTTTGTGGTCCTCCATTTGGGACCACTGGGTCTGTTTATTGTCTCATATGCGTTATATCCAAGCTTTGTATTTGCCTCCTTCTTATAGTAAATCTTTCCTAACTTAACCTTTAACTTTTCTAATAGAAGTTCATTTTGGAATGTTACACTTCTCACACTGTGCATATTATTAAAATACCTTAAATATACTGTTTATGGCACCTGCATTTATTAATGACTACTTGCTGGTTTGTGAATGGACAGTTTTAGGATCCCTTTCGTATGATAAAGTGTTTGATATAACTCACCAGGGAATGCTGGTCATAGGCTAAGGGTTCCATGGAGGTGGAGCTTCCACGGCGAGACTCTGTATGACCAGTTCCTGCCTCACAGAAGCCCAGTCCCCCTTCGCCATATTGAGGCACACCCTCTCTGTATATGAGCTCCTCTCCAAGGATGGACTCAGGTCCCAGAGAGCTCTTCGGAGTGGGCATGGGTGTGGCTGCAGTGCGCATGATTATAGGAGGAGCCATCGAGCCACGAGGGTCAACGTGACCGTTGGCTGTCATCATGAGAGAGTACATTTTTAGCTCTGTGGAGGAGAAATAAAGTCGTTATTATCATTTACTCATTTAGTTATTTATTCACACAATTTGAACTGAAGGTCATTTAACCTACCAGTGTCTCTGAGCTGCTCAACCTTCTCGTCCTCCTCAAAGTTGTCTGATTTCTTCTCATCATCTGACTCCGACCGATTAGCATCGCCCTACAACACACATGCAAATAAGCATTTTTTTTTCTATATTTATTTCCCTTTTTTTCCAATTACGGCACAGAGTGCAAGCACATCAGCACGCTGCATTTACTGCACAGAGAATATTTTTGTGGTTGAAGGCTCACTGTGCTCTTGGGGTGCACATGATAACAGGGTTGGATGGAGAAGAATTGATGGTCTAAAATAATCAATGGGCGTGTTCGGGACTGGTTATAATCTTCATTCTCTCGTCCCCTTTAAAAAGCAGTGGTGCCTTGCATGATTGTGACAGTTTGGTAATTGAGAGTCCGAACCTGCTCCATTGGGAGTTAATTAACAGCAAGAGAAGGCCCTCATGCGGCGTTCACACAGTTGTGCATGAGAGATGCTGTTACAAATTAGACATCTTTACTCTGTTCCCCTGGCATTAGTGCCCAAATTGTAATAAAAAAAATGATGTGCAGTTACATGTGTCTACCAGCTGGAGAATGTATAACTAAACACAAATGATGAGTTTTGGAGAGCTTTGTTTATTGTAATTTTGGAAAAGTCTATGAGGGAGTGCTTTCATCAACTTGTGTGATGACTAAAGCACAATAAATGAGTGCACCATATGCAGTGTTGACCAGATGCCAGCCGGGACGCGGTGATAGATCCAAACACTGTGAATCTTGACAGCCGAATTGCACTGCGCCACTACAGTCCCTCCCCGAAGTACCAAAAAGGTTAGAACATGCTTTGCGCAGTACAACCACAAAACCTAGAGCCCTGTATCTCAAAGAACACTTTATTTGAAAGAAAAAATTAAAAATAAGACAATAAAAGAAGTCTTTTTTTATTCATATTCTGCATTCAGCACTATAAAGTTTAATAATTATCATTAATTAAAAGGCACTAATTAAATATTGTATAAAAACAGTTGTTCTCACCTCAGCCTGGAAGCCCTCAACCAAGATGGCCACAAGTAAATTGAAGAGCACATAGTTGCCAAATGTCATGAGAGCAACAAAGTAGAGAGCCGCCCATGGAGAGGTGGAGGCCATGCCATTATACAACACCACATTCCAGTCCTCCTGTGTAAGAATCTAAAGATTGAATGAAACACAGACAGATTTAGGCATAAATAAGGAAGGAGTGGAGGGGAAGAGATGGGTGGAGGCGAAAATAGACAAGGATGGAGGTCACGTTTAGAGATGTAGATTTGAAAAACAAGAAAAAGAGTAAAGGTCCATAGACATGAAGACTTGGAGAAAAGGAAGGAAAAGGCTCTGAGGTTAAAGAAAAGAAGACACAGAAAGAGAGAGGAAGAAAGACACAGATGGAAAGGCAGGACAGGAAATGGAACAATATTAGCCGATCCAGGTTCAACATGCTTTATAAAACCCAGTAGTGAGCTACTTTTATTGCCATCCTGCCACAATACTTCAACTTCATACACATAGGATTACTATGAGTTGATGTGCAAAGTGTATGTGGGCGTGTGTAAGTGTGTGTGTGTGTTTGTGTTCGCCTAAATCAATGTGAGGGATGAAAGCATTTAAAAGTAGGACGGTGTTCATGATGCAGCATGAAAGCTCACTCCGTCTCCACCCACTCATAAAACGCTGTGGCAGGAAGGGAATTCACTGTGCTGTCTGTATGAATGCACACATGCATGTGTGCACAGATTTGTGTGTACTGTAGCTACTCCCCAGAACACTATAGTAAGTATATAGTGTGTGTAATGCCTTCACATGACAGTCAGTTCTGGGTAAAATGCTTTTTCAGCATCTTACTCCTACACACACACACACACACACACACACACATCGAAGGGAGACAGTCCACTGCATTCTGTGTTCTACCTTTCTGCTGACGCATCCAGTATAGAAAAGAGGACAATCTATCTGGAGCGATTGAACAATATCTCCACATAAGGAGAGCAAAAAATAGAAATAATAGTGAAAGGTATGGTGTGGATAAGCAGAATTTCTCATTTCCCAGCTTTTGACTAATGAGCAGGACTTGGCAGTTACACGCACACAACTACACACATACACATCAGAGTTTTACATTTTGATTTGGGATGGCCAAGAAGCACACACAAAATGTACACTAACAAACTGCCCAGCTTAGCTTCCACAAATATACTGTGTGAAGGATGGACATTTTTGTCTGTCTATCATACATTTCCACCTACGCCAGTACGTCACTCTGTGGTGATAAGAACCATGTCTGAGCTCTTGTTTTGAAAAGAAGCAAGTAACATATCTGTCTCACTGCAGGAACGTTTTTCAGATGACGCGTGCATGACTGGCAGCCTAATAGTTAAGCTGTACAGGTTTACGTACAAGCAACACCTGTCAACTGTAACAAGTCTTAATTACCATGTTTCATTTAGGGCTGCAGAATATGGTAAAAAAAAAAAAAAAAGTGATATTGCAATTACTTTGACAGATATTATGATGCGCTATGATTAACGATTAATGGGAATGATCATTTTTGATTGCAATTTTCATTTTCACTGAAAAAAACTGTGAAAGTCACGATGACGTGACATTGCTATGTTTTGTCACCCAATTTATCTTTATAAAAAGGTAAAATGTGTATAATTAACTATTTTCATGAACAAATCAGAAGCTTTATATCATCAATAAGAATACAAAAAGCAGTTGAACCTGCTGTTAGACAGACCAAAAATTAATAAAGCAATTATTATTGATAACATGTGTATAGCTGAGTGAAATCTTATATTAAGTCAGCATCAGTACAGTCTTGGAAAAGTAAGAAAACTAAGAAAAAGCTGAAGAAGCAAGAGTCAATCTGTTGAAAACTCACCTGGAATACAGTGACGATGGCCCAGAGTAGAGAGTCAAAGTTTTTACGGTCGGGGATGGTGTCTCCATTCTCTGTCTGAAGGCTGAATTTACAGCCAAACAGATGCATACCCAGTATACTGTAGAAAATAAAAGAATGCAGTCATGATCATTTCAACGTATGCATTGTGTGTGTGTGTGTGTGTGTGTGTGTGTGTGTGTGTGTGTGTGTGTGTGTGTTTGTGCATGTGGTGTGTGTGCATACCTGAAGGTGAAGATGAAAAGCATCAGCAGCATGCAGAATGTGGCCACATTGTCCATGGTCTTCATCAGCACCACCAGTTGTCTCCTCAGGGCAGGCAGGAAGCGAACCAGCTTCAGAACCCGCAGCAGTCGAAATGTTCGCAGGACTGACAACCCGCCGTCTGCTTGACCGATTATCTCCCACACACTGAGAACCACAAACAACCAAATTTGTATTAAAACACTATTAAACCGAGTAACATAACCTCGCATATCAAAAAGTCCCCTGATCCAATCTGAGCTTTATAGAACTCAGTGACAGCCACACAGCAAACTTCGACTATGACAGGAACAAGAATCTGCTGTGGCAGCAAGCAAAGCTCCTCCTGTGTGATCCATAACAAGTGTGTCAATCTTAGCTATTGTAAAGATAGATGCAGCGGCTGTGAACATTTGACACTTGAAACCCAATGACTGACAAGCTGGAGAAAAAAATAAGAAAAGGGAGCGGCTCAAAATCTGGGTTTAGCAGTTGTCTAGTTTGTGAAATCTGCATTGATTGGAGGCATGTCTTTACATTGGGTTTTTGCTTTGTAATAAAATGGATTGATTACCTGATAATAACAATGATGCTATCGAATATGTTGTATGGGTTCCTGATGTATCCAAACAAGCCAAAGGCCAGCAGCATGAAGCCCATCTCCAGGACAAACATGCTGGTGAAAACGATGTTACTGATCTCCAACACATCGGTCAACTCCTCAGGCTGGGGGGGAGAGAAAAGGGAGACAGAAAAGAAGAGGTAGAGTAGAAAGGAAAGAAGGAAGGAATGAAGAAAGAAAAAAAGAAAGAACAAGTCAGTTAATATCTCCACTCTATTATGCTACAGTTGTAAAACCCTTTTGGTATTAGTGCCCTGAGCCGAGACATGATCAATCAAGTTCAGAGCTGCAGTCAGGCCCAATCAATCAAATGGGACCAACAGCACCAATCCATCACTGCTGATCTACTCCACTTACCTCACAGTACAGTCACTGATCCAGCAAGATGTAAACCAAGGCCCCCTCATAAAGCATGTACTCAAGTTTTGCGCTCTGGTAAACACATTATGGGGCCAAATATTTAACTTTGCTTTATGGAAACGGTTTGCTGGAGCTGCATCAGGGAGCTAAAGGTGCTGATTCGGATCAAAAGTTGTGACTTGGGGTTCTAGCCTATAGCTTGCTTTAATGAAACTTGTTATTTCAGGCACACTTGAGTTTATATAGTGTGTTTCTCACCTGGTCATGTAATTTATTTAATGGTCCATGGTCCATTAAACGGCAATAAAGGAAGTTTGATGCTTGTCTACAAGGCTAAAAAAACAATCAAATTTGCAAAAGCTTTTTAATCGGATGATCTCCTGTAATAAACACAATGCTCTCTGATATTCCCCTCTTTCACTTTTTCTAGCTTGTATCATGATTCAGTGCTGACAAGCTTTGCACATTCACAATTAATTAATAATTATGATCCCCAGACAACTGAATCACTCTAAACCATAAATTCTCAGCTCTATAGTGAGCCTTGTAGTTTGCAAACCCCTTCAGCTTGTGACTTTTATTCTCATGTTACGCATGGCAGGCTCATTAAAACTAATTGTGATTCTTTTCATGTGGGGATCAACAAGCAACAGCCCCAAAAGCCCCCGGCGTATAAAAGCAGGCGGACCATAATGTGGACTAATAAACACACTGACAAGATTTATAAAATCCCAGATGTCCTGCTCCTACCGGAGAGAGGAGTTAACCTTCAGCCTGGGTTACTCTGCACTATCAGCACCCTGCAGAAACATCCAGTGTTGTTTGTGTGTTTCATGTTGTTGGAAATTTTAGAAAATGTTGTTGCATATAAATATTTTTAGTATATCTTTGATGAAGCTGGAATCAAGGAGACAGATATATAATAGCATTTCTTTCATTAAAATCACAGCTATTACAACCAATTCAAGCTAAGTGATCACAGATAGAGGGCGCCATACTACACAGCACTCATCACCTCACCTCACTCCACCCCAAGCACATAGAAACGGAACACAGATCCTCCTGAGAATAAGTAAACTACAAACTTTTTACCGCCACCTTTCAAGACGAGATGGGGGGGGTGGGGGGTTCCTATTGAAAAGATCAATGATGCAAAGCACGTACATTCATTTAAGTACAGCGCTTAAGTACATTTTTGATGTTCTTTACTTGAGTATTTCAAATTCAAGCTATTTTACACTTCTACTCTTATATATTACTTTTACTTTTTAAATTACAATTTTCTATACAAAACATAGTTTCTATAATGTATAACCTACCCGACTGGTTATATACCACTACTTCTGTACATTTACTTTGATAACATTTTGCTTGCAGAACCTATACTAGTATTTTAATAGTGTAATACTTTTTCTACCACTGGAAAAGATGCATTTTGAGTGTCACTTTCAGGATCCTGGATCTCACTGCAAGAGAAAGATAGGGCACATGGCTTTTTCTATCTTTTTCAATTTCAAGCATATTTGAGCATTTGTTGTTAGCATAATATATCACTGTATGATTAGCTGCAATGATAAGTGGTTCCATTTTATGCTGTAATTGCTGCAGACAAAACACAAACAGCCATTTGGACATTCTGAAACAGAGCCTGTCTAATCCATTTCTTTACTGACCTTAGCAACTGCAGGAGAAGTGTGTCTGGTTGATTGCCAATCCACTGATCCATTACTCACATTACAGCACTAGTTTGACGCTAGCTGAAATGTTTACTGCTACAGCTTATATAACCTTGACCTCACTGTCAATATGAACTGGGTTGCTGTATGCGGAGTACACCTACAGTGCCGTACACGGTTGTCTAATCTAAAGCACACAACATCTCTCTTTTTGTATCTTTACTATTTTCGGCTGATGAGCTTTTGAGTTAATTGGGACAGTCGTGAAGCTTGAAAACTGAAGCAGAAACGCCTATGCAAAAATAAAAGGACGCAGAAGTAATGTCAGGGGACTCAAGTACAGCTTTTGGTGTGCTGCATGGTGTTGAAAACAATGCCATATTTTCTTTTAAAAGAGCTGGGCAGACAATAGAAAGACTATAGCTGTTAGTAGACCTGGCTGTTTGTTCAAAATGTCTTTCACTGTCCAGCCAGCACATAAAAACTTTAAAGTACTTCAACAAAGCTTTGAAAGAGTTTTCAGCCAGCTATTCTATCGTAAGCAGTGACAATAGAGTAGACTCACATACATTATTATTTAACAGAGGACTACTGGCATTTTTCATTACCTTTTGGCCCACTGTCTACACACCAGCCAAATGAAAGAGCATACTGCAGACTTGCAGGGTAATCATTTCCATCCAATGCTGCAAGGCAGTTTTTGTGCCTGATAGGATTACAAATGTATCTTCACTTACTGCTTTACAGTGTGTTGAGTGGGGAGAGTATAGTATGACATTGTAAGATAAAACAATACAAAGTTAAATATGGTAATAGCTGAAGGTATGGTGGCTCTGAGAGCTCAACTCATTGCAACTTTAAGTTATATATACAAAATGGACTTGCCACCAGGATGTGGCACTAGAGCAACAGCATCTCAGACCAAAAGAATGGGACAGAAACACACTAAAATTCACCAAAACTGACTTTATTATTCTTTCCACAGTCTTTGTAACAATCACCAATACCGGTTTTGTCAAAATAAATGATACAATTAATTGAGTTAGATGTAATGGCCCTAACGTAAGCTAACATTATTGCTTGGGAACAAATGTGTCCGTGCACTTAAAGTGCTTGTTTTTGCCATTGACAGGCACAGGTTGTCATTCTAAGTGTCTTTTGTGACAGACTTTTTGCTTCATCAGAAACAGTCGCTCACCACTAGAATCTATAGACAAAAATGGTAACTAATTTTTCTTGCATATCATTATAACATCATAACTTCATTCAAAGTGGATGGAAACAAAATAAAGAATTGCCTTTTAATTGTTCCAACAATTACCAACTTTAGTTTGGACTAGATAAATCCTTAATACACCAAAGTAGATGAGAGTCGCTCTACACAGCTGCACATGGAGTAGACCAGCTTTGAAAACAAACCACAGATCGGCCTCAAAAGCAGCACAGGGGGAGGGAATATGACGTAATTTTCTGCTCAGGATGCCATGACTCCACTCCATCCTCACCAATTGTACAACACCTATGCAGCATTTAGAAAACAACACTGCAAATAAAACACAACCAAATACAAAAATGCTGCAAGTAGCAAAGGCAACAACAGAAAGTGTTTCCAGAGGACACGATAAAGTGTTGAACAGGGCCAGGACATGCTTGTCGTTACCATGGTTTGTAACACATGAAGTTACTGAAGTTGGCTATCCATACATGGTGTTGGAAAATGAGCTAAGAGGTTTTTTTTTTGGTGGGACAAGAAGTGCACCCCAGCAGTGTCCTGGCATGTTCATTACATTTCAGTGTCTCCTGGAAATAGTTTCATTGACGTTGTTGTCTTTTCTCTATTTGCAGCATTTTTTCTAACTGCTCTGCATGTGTTGTCAAATTGGTGAAGATATTTTCTTAATTTGCTTGTGTTTTGTCTATTTGCTCTCTGGGCCACCGTATGAACAGCTCAAAGCAGAGAGCTAAAAAGGTCAATGAGCTTGCAAAAGCATACATCGGTGTCTCCTCTGGTTCTGTGTTTTTATGTTTGATGTAATTCTGGTGTCCGTTCTATCTGATGGCAACATTGTGGACAACAAGATGGAGGGAAGAAAAAGTTGAAGAGCTGGTAAAATTTAAAGATTAGAGAGAGGCAGGTTTTTTTTAACGTTAATCCTACCGACTGGGGAACCTGCAGACCCAGAGGTATATTTTTGTCCTATAACACAGGTGCTTTATTCTATCATTCCAATTTTTTCATAACTCAAGTCAATTCGTTCTCAATTACTTCATATCAATGTTGTTTCTTTCTAAAAGTCAATTAGTGCCTTTTGAAAAAACTAATGTACTGGGATCCTAATGTATTGCACGTCTGTTTTTAGGGAGACGGACAGATTTCCTAATGTGCTCTCACATACACAGTATGCAAAATAACTGCCACTTTTTCTAAAATAATCCAGATTGACACGAATTACATAACTAACTATGTTTTGAGAAGAAATAAGTTAACATTTTCCTATGATGGTTGTTTCTTATGGTAGTTTATTATTGGGGTCTCCAGGGACCCCAGTCAGTAGTATTTGTATGTTAAATATGTTGGTAGGAAGAGGTCTTGCAGCCAGCAATACAAATGCTGGTGGGAAAACTGAAAAGAAAAACTCTTCCATCTATTAATAAATCCCAACGAAGTGCCCTTGAGCTGTCAACTTTAGCCTGTGACGCATTTTATTTTATAGTAGCAGTTCTAGATTGCCACGATCATTAGTAACTAAGTGGTTTGAAATAATTAGAAGCTCTTAACCATATGTCAATATATTTTATGTATTCTACTATAGTCCCATGAGCATTCTGAACTATTACTTTAGACGTTGCTTTCCACTACCATCATTATGTTTGACTGACCAGGTGATCAATCAGAATGAAATACTGTGTCAGTGCCTGCAAGAAGACATTTCCAGTGAGTGTTTACGTATTTGAATACAGCTCTGCATATGACCTTGGCCTTAAGAATATGAGAAACAAAAGCACAACAGAGAATGTAGCTTCTCTGGCAGAGCAGGGTAGAGGAATGGCCTAGACTATAAAGCAGGACACTCACATCAATAAAAACAATCCTGAAAAACACAGAATCTAATAATGTGGACCAAATCATACTGTGTATGTATATATTTATATATATAAATATATAATCAATATACAATACATATATAAAAGGGGCATTAATCGTAGTATAGTTGGAGCAATGAACCATTAAACAAAAACCAAAGGAAAGTTATGCATAAATCATGCATAACACAAAATCTACCTTTAAGCTTATCTACACTGTGCATTCCTTTATGTTTGGGGGTTTAGCGTCCGTGCTGTCATTTGTGAGTGATTACGTTTGTGTCACTCATTATTAAATTACGAAACATCATATATATATATAAAAAAGTCATACATCCTTTCATATCATTATGTTTAGACTACCGTAACTATCTTTTTGCTTAGACTCCCACTCAGCAACTCATAGTTTATCACCCCAATTTAGCATCATTACATCCTTTCATATCATTATGTTAATAGATTACTAGGCCATCAAGGGTTTCAGATTACATTAAAAACATATAACACTTACCAGGCCCTTAGACTCAACCAACTCAGAGTAAAACAAATGTGGCTTTGTGTTTACTATACATTTTTTTTTTTTTTTTTTTTTTTTTTTTTTATTTCCCTTTTCAAAAGTCAGAGTCAAGCTTTTATGTTGTAGTTAAGGCCAACTAATGACACTAAAGGACAGTTACAATCAGATCTGAGTTGCCAGACAATGTGGTTATATTCACGTATCAGTTCACATGTGGGCTTCCTTCCATGCATATTCGATTCCAGCAATCGATTTCCAATCTAGAATTAGTATAAACAACATAGCTAAAACAATCATCAAACATCTCCCAATTTCTCTAAACCTCTCTCTACACACACACACACACACACACACACACACACACACACACACACACCCAACACACACACACACTGTCTACACTATGCCTCCCACGTTCGTACACCTCTTCACACGCACATATACACTCATAGTCTCATAAAGTTTGGCTAGGTGTCACATAAGGGGGATGATGAGTACTGAAGGGAGGAGGAACTCTTACATAACACTGTGTGTGTGTGTGTGTGTGTGTGTGTGTGTGTGTGTGTGTGTGTGTGTGTGTGTGTGTGTGTGTGTGTGTGTGTGTGCTATTGGCCCAATAAGGCCATGGCTCTCCCAGTTGCTCCTTATGTTTATACCACAAAGATAGAAACACACACACATCCCCTGGAGAGGGAATTAGAGATGGAGAATGGGAAAGGAGGGAATGGACTGTGTGCATGCACCAGAATCTTCTCTTTGGGTTATTCATCCATTTGCTGTACTGCTGGGAAAGGCAAAGGTTGTGTGCGTGTGTGTGCATAGAAAATACACTAACTTGGGTGTAACGATGAATGTGTGTATGCAGCCACACACATTTTGAGTGTGTGACAGTGGAGCAAGGGAACGGGGAGCTATATTATTAGGCGGATACTTCCCAGATGTTGGCCACACAGGGTAAACTAGAAACATAATCCTGGAGTGTGTGTGATAGTGCCTTCAAGTGTATTTGTGTCTAAGAAAAGAGGGAAAGAGAGGGTACTGCTCCTCCTCCTCCAACCCCCCCAGTCTACCCCGCCTCCTCCCGTCACTATAGTCTCATTTCCTCTCATTTGGACTCTCTAGACAACCAAATGCCATTTATTTTTGCACACAAATGTCGTGTCTGACAGCCAGCAGTTCTCATCAAACTACTTGTTTCTTTTTGAAGGTCAGTCAGAGCCCTTTTAGTTTTTTGAGCCATCGATCTGAGCTGTTCAGGGCTTTCATTTTCCCTACATCTTATTATTCTTACCTGCTCGTGGTACTCTATCCCCATGCTGAGAGTATTGATGAGGATAGCGATCATGATCCCTCGGTTGAAGTATTTACTTTCTACAATCCTCTTCAGTTTTTCCCTGAAGCCTACCCAGGCCCGAACCACTCCGTTTTTGTACTCCACGACCCCCCGCCGTCTGCTGCGACCTCGCCTACATCTCAGATCCCCACTCTAGAGGAAAGATGGGTTTCATTCAGTAATGACTGTAGAAAATCTACAAAATAATCAGTAAAAACAGCTATAAATGATAGTATTTTTATATCAACAGTGTTAAGACTTTTGTCATGTGTCAAGACTTTCAAATGCAAATCATAAAAAATATAATTAGACAATATAAAAATATATATTGTCTTGTTTTTAACTGATATAACACTTTCACCAGTGATGAGTTTTTATTTAATCATCACCACCATCATTTATGCAATTTCACCACTTCCACAACCTGTCAGCCTCACTGTTTACCATCATCATTAGTGCACCCCCGTTCATTCTGACCTGGGGGAAGTCTTGCAGTCCGTCAGCCTCTCCCCTGCCTCCCTCCAGGTCTCCCAGTTCCAGCTCCAAGGTCTCCAGGCTGCGGGCACACAGAGGGCAGCTAAGCAGCTCCAAGAGCAGAGGGCTGGGCACCACGCCTGCCAGCTGGTACAGCAGCCGCTGGCGTCCTAAACGGGGGAAACGGGCGGAGACGGTCAGACATTGCAAAGGGTGTTCTTTCCAGTTGTCCTTGTGTGCTGTCTCTTTAGCTTTACTGAGCAAGACAAACACGTAAGAGGTTAGCCATTGACCTGCTGAACAATTTTACAACCTGAAAGCAAACATTCAATTGGGCTATGGTGTCATATCGTCATAGTATTTATAATTATATTTCAATATATAATATTATTTTTCAAGTTTTAGCACATCAAAGATTATATTTATATCTTTACTACAGAAGAGCACTGTCCTTTACTACACCATTGTTGATTGATCTGCAGTTCTAGTGTCTTTTTAGGAAACTGTAAATATTAAGTGTAGTGTATGTCTTCTTCAACAACCTCCACCAACAAGGTACTGTAAGTAAGAAAGACAAAATACAAAGTCTGCAAAGCACTGGCTGCTGCTTGTTTAGCATATTGCTGTGAGCACCGGATAATTGAAGGTGACTCAGATGTGTGGATCAACATTTTTATCAGCTTCTCCCCACTCTCATTTCAATTATGGTGGCCGCACAGTCAGAACGCAATATTCAGAGAGATTTTAGCAGACAAAATCAACCCAAGGGAATAATAGAGATGGGTGTGGTTGGGGGTAGGATTTTGAAAAGAAAGAAGGACATGTCTTCCTTATTCCCAGCAGAAATGGGACATACACACCTTGGGTGTATGTTCTTGGTTGAACAAATTTCTCCCACAATGTAGTTTTATGTCAACTAAAAATATTTGTGTTTGCATCAAAGTAAGACAGCCCCATACCAACAAACAGCAATGCACTGTGTTCTGACACCTTTCTATCAGAACCAGTATTAATTGTTTGAGCAGTTTGAGCTACAGTAGCTCGTCTGTTGGATAGGACCACACGGGCCAGCCTTCACTCCCCACGTGCATCAATGAGCCTTGGCCCCCCCCCATGACCCTGTTTCTGGTTCTTTTCCTTCCTTGGACCACTTTTGATCAGTACTGACCTCTTCAGACTGGGAACACCCCACAAGAGCTGCAGTTTTGGAGATGCTCTGACCCAGTCGTCTAGCCATCACAATTTGGCCCTTGTCAAAGTCGCTCAAATCCTCACACTGCCTATTTTTCCTGCTTCTAAAACATCAACTTTGAGGACAAAATGTTCACTTGCTGCCTGATATATCCCACTCACTGACAGGTGTCATGATAATGACATAATCAGTGTTGTTCATTTTATGGCTGATCTGTGTATAAAAAAAAAAGTTATTTAAAAAATAATTAAAAGACAGAAACAAATACAGTGAGACATTATGATATAATACAAAAAGATGAAGCTGGAAAAATGTAACGCAAGCAAAATTTTGCAAGCACCGCTGCATGGATGTCCTATCTCAGTTGAGAGCCAAAACAAGCTGGTTTCTGCAGTGAGTACTGTGAGCTCACCCACAGTACTGTACGAGTTCCTGGCTGACTCCTCTCACCCTCTGTTCTCTGTCTACATCCTCTTTAAATCAGTATGCAGCAACTGCAAAGCTTAGCTGAAAACTAACAGAAGCAAAACCTTATTCCTGGAAACATCAGCACCTCAAAAGCAGCTTCAACAGCACAGGATTTTGTTTACAACTCTATCTAATACATCAAGCTATGAAAAAGGGTTATCAGAGCTGTCATCATCGTCTTCTCTAATCTCCTGAATTTCGCTGTGTCTTTTATTCTTTTGACTCTCGACAGACTGTTTGAATATCTGTCTGGCAAAAAGTTTCATATCAGTACCTTATTTTACATTAGGTTGGAGTAGATTACAGATTTGAGAGCCCCAAACTTTTAAATATTTCCAAAGACACTGGTGTATAAAGTATTTTTAAACCAAAAACATTGTTCAGTAATCCCATTAAGTAAAACAGTCTAGCCGAGATTAAGTCATCTGGCAAAATTGAAAGCAAACATTTAGAAACTACAGATCTAGAAATGTTTGACAGCGACTGCAGACGTGTACTCGTTGACATTGTAACTTTCAGTCAACTGCAAGCTATTAAATCACCGTCCATTAAAGTCAATCTGAAACATGTGATCTTCAACACACGTTAGTAGTTGAGGCAAAGTGTTACTCTCACTCTCTGAAGGAATCATTTCAACTGTGAGCAGATCTTTTTTGTATTTATCACGTGTCACACAGTAACTCTTCACTCCAGCAAGGAGCTAATTCATGTGCGCTTAATTATGTTTGGAGTGTCAGCAGTCATTAAGTGTGTAAATGTGCGTGCGTCCTAACGCAGTTTTGTGTTATCTCCTCTTTCTCTCTGCCTCGTGTGCTCCCCCCAGTATATCCCTCCTTTTTTCCCTCCCTCTCCCTCCGCTCATTTCTCTCTTTTAACTAATTTATTTTTCTCTCTGTCTCCCTCTCCCAGCCTTTCCCTCTGGATCTGAGTCTTTCATAATTCATTCCTCTCTTCCTAACTCTACCCATTTCTTCTCTCATCTTCCGCCTTTTTTAAAATAACATTGTATACCTGTGCTTTTCTTTGTTACTGTACACTGCCTACTTTTCCTCACTCTGCCACTCCCTCCCCACACCATGTTGATTCCCTCAATCCTCCCCTTTATCCACCTCTCTGCACTGATGACTGTAACACTTGAGACATGGATTTCCTGTCAAGACTCTCTAAGTGCTGCTTGAGACGCACACACACATAGCAGATGTAGCCAGAGGCTACTTCAGGTCAAACTTGGGAAGGGTACAGAGGTATTTGCTAAGAGAAAGAGCAAGAAATGAAGATGAAAACAGGAGACGAATGTGTGACGACAAAAACATAATGGAGCCCAAGGGAGATCCAGAGCATCAAGCACAGATTGTCAAGGGGAATTAAAGGACAGTGAAACACATTAGAAACAGAAATATAGTAAAGGGAAATGGCAAAAAATAAAAAAATAAATCATAATTACTGTTCCACTATGAAGATTAACAGGATAATTAAGTTAGTTAAGCATTTAAACAAAGGGCATGTTTGATGGCTTATTCGTTTGGTTGTTATGTGACCCAGGCTGTTATACAACTCCTTATGTAGACTCAGGCTCCACTTGGTAGCCTAAATTGCAATTTTCTGGGTGGAAAAAAATCTTGTTAACCAGTAAACCCAAACTCCAGATTTAAAAAAAGTCCCATAGAAGCCTACATCATCTACATCCATGTGTCTGTGGTATCTGGATGTAACGAGTGTATGTGTGTGTGTCCTCTTACTGTGCTGTCCCATGAGCTGGTAGAGCTTGTTCAATGTCTCTGTGTGTTCAGATGTTGGGTGGTTGGGTGGGTGCTGCTCTGGACTGTGCCCACACTGCTGGGAGTGGGGGGGTGGCGTCTTACTGCTGTAGCTGCACACAAACGACGGTAGAATGGTCGGATAGTTCATCCCCCCATTCAGTCGCCCCAGCAATGCCCCCATGCCCTGAGTGACAACGGACGGGTTGCCGCCGCTCCCACTATTTCCGGTTGTGCTTCCTCTCCGGACAGGAAGCGACTTCATCTCCAGCTCCTCCCCTCCTCCGACCCCATCTTCTCCGTCCATGTGCTCGCCGGTTGCCACGCTGATGGTGTGCTGTCCCCCGTTGCTGAGGCGACAGTGCTGGTGCTGATGGTGCTGCAGGAGGTTATGGATCGGTCTCAACCACAATGCGCTACCCGGGCCTAAGCCTCCGCAGCCCCTGCTGGAACCGTGGCCATGTCCATTACCCCCTCCGTTACTGCCTCCCCCACTGCCATTAGGATTCACCTTTTTACGCCTTTTACTGAAAGGACCAGAGACATGAATTATGATAAATAACTGAAATGGATAGAGAAGGTATTATTGCCAGGTTTATATAAAGATGCATCCCTAGGATCAATTTTGGGGGCTGTGTGCAATGTAATTCTGTGTGATCCAAAATTACCAAAGCACACTCACACCATTATTAAGTGCTCGTAACAAAACACATTTTAGTTTCCCCAAATGACTCATACAGTGTTGCAAATAGACACAGGAGGACCAGCGAGGAATATGAACTTCTAGGGATCGCCATGATTAATTTAACTTGGGGGAAAAGTGTGATTATAATCTCAATAAAGGGAATATTTCCAGATATTTTTTCATCCTCATTATATTACAGAAAATCTGTGACTCCAACACAGGTCCTTAATGTTTAACATCTCAGGGACTAATGCGTTTGGTTGTTTTTCCTGTTATTACTGAACAATATTGCAAAATGTTATGTCTACAGAGAAATCCTAAGTCTTTGTAGCCCTTGGTAATATGTTGACTTAATTTAATATCATCGATATTTGACAGGATATCCCTGGACAAAAAAAGTCATATCTAACCTGTGCCATCCAGAGTATATCCTCTGCAGCCTGCGTGTTAGCTTTCGATAAAGGTGACTGATGTAGCGTAGCATCTCCTCGTAGCATGAGCCCGGTTCGCTGTAACTGGCGAGCGTGGAGTCGTTGGACATGTAGCGAGCGCGCTGCTCCCTCATCAGGGCATTCTCCCGTTGCTTTGTCTCAGAAAACTGGGTGGCGATGACCACGAGGCACAAGTTGATCATGAAGAAAGAGCCCACCTGGTTGGGAAGGTAAAGGACAGCTAGAGTTATAAAATGGCAGCGATGCAGCTTTATAATGATACACTGGAGGAGCAGTTGTGTTAACAGTCATTCCACAAACCTTCTCTGTTATGCACAAGTGAAATCTTTCACCTTGCTGTTAAGACAGAAAATCAACACCGTGGCTACTTCATCAATATTTTATCCCTCTTCATCCCACCTCAATGTGTTAAAAGTGTAATAAAACACTGTGTCAACAAGAAGCTGTATTAGGTGTTATATATTATTAAGATGCAGCCAGTTTGGTTAGATCCTCGGATGATAAAACTGACTTTGTTTTTATCATTACTTACAAATTCTGATTTAAATTGGCAGGAAGTTAGAAATATCTGTCAAATCTATAAAGAAATGTCTATTTAACATGCCATAACTGTGTGTTACTGAAAGAGTAAGAGGAAACTAAATGAGCACTTTCTCCATCTTTTCTTTTTATTCTCATCTTAATTTCTGTCTCATTCACTTTCTATACGAATAATTTTGTTTTTCTTTCTCTTGTTCCTTCTCTCTCTCACCCTTTCTTCTCCTTCCCCATTTTTTTTCTCTCTCCCACTGAAAACATAATAAGCACTTCTACATCAAACAACAGGCAGGGAGCTCATACAGCATTGTAAAAGATAGTCGAATCTAGGGCCTTTGAAAACCCCGCAACAGCATGATAAGAGTGAAATTATACACAATAAGAAGTCTGCGAGGTTCAGACAGTTATTCTTTAAGCAGAGTTCAGTGGTTTACTTCAGAAAGGTTATTCTGGGTTTTCCAAAGCAGGACTGAAATTCAAGTACACAAAAATATCTTTCAGGAGCAACACGTCATACATATGCATATCTGTTGAGCATTCAAACCACAGACTGCAGTCTGTGTAGAGCATATGAAGCAGGGCAGGATTAAAGAAATGTGTGTTTTGCAGCTATTTTGGTGCTTGCTTTTTGAGTCCTAGCAACACATTCAAATATCAGGAAAGGTTAATTAAAGCAAAAATACAAGGAAGTACTTACGATAATGAGCAGTATAAAATATATAAAATTGTAGAAGGAGTGAGCATCCATGACATAGTACATGATATCTACCCATCCTTCCAGTGTGATGACCTGGTGGTGGAGAGAAAAAGACAGAGAGGGAGACACTGTATTATAATGAACTGGGAAGTAGAAAAACATTCCTCCATTGCTTTTTCTTCAAAAACATATGACAAACACACCCACGCATGCACGCACAAAACTGTGCACACAGACGCACACAGACACCCAATGAACACAGCAGTCAGACGCAGTACATTTCCAATTCTGTTTTTAATGGCTGCTCCTCAGAAGAAGGCCTGTGGTGTCCCTCAAACTTCTTATACATGTGCGGGTGTGTGAGTGTGTGTGAGTGTGTCAGGGGACTGACACAGCTCTTTCATGTGGCCACTATGCTAATGAGCAGTTGAGAAGCAGAGGCCTGAAAGCGGTGGCTCAGCTCAGCCAAGCTGATAATACACTCACACCTCAACATTTACACCTCAGCTGGCATAACACATTACAGCTGCCAGCGCACACGCAACAATGGCACGAGCAAACACACTCAGAGCAACCGTCCAAACACACATGCCAACAGGCACGTGCATGCATACTTGTGTATTCATAAAGAATCCTACACAAACCTCCCATAAACAGACACCACAAATGTATATTTATGCACACACACCCAGAGGAGACTAATTTGCTCTCTGCTTGAATGCTCTCCTTGCACCAGATTAACAAAATAGCTGAGGATTCTCATTTCTGAGCTAAAACATACCTGTACTTTCTTTCTACAGAGTGCAGCCATCCAACCAAACACTAGCCAAACTAATAAAACTGTCCCTCAGACATACAATTAATCAAGACTAGGAATTTTGGTGTATATCAACAATAAAAGTACATAGTTTCTTTATCAAAACGGAAGAAAGGACCATCAACTCTTGAGCAGCATGTGCTGACACTGAGCCCCTCTATAGGAAAGGACAGGACAGGCTGTTCTTTCTGAGGAGGCTCAGGTCCTTCATGACGGGACATCACAGAACTTGTGGTGCAAACAAGCTGGTGAGGAAGGCCAGATCGGTGGTGGGGATGGATCTGGACAGTGAGGAGGCTGTGACTGAGAAGAGGATGAGAGGGAAGCTGAAAGCCATCATGGACAACCCCTCTCATCCTCTCTACACTGAGCTGAGGCAGCTCAGGAGCACTTTCAGCCACAGACTGATCCAGCCTCGAGCCTCTTAGCAATTTGGAGGCTCATTTGTACCATCAGCCATCAGACTCCACAACGCCACAGCCCCCAGTACCTCCCAGCTCCACTGATTAAGACTGCTTAACCTTAACCTGCTATGCACAACTTTTTGCACAAACTTTACCTCGTAATAATTGCACATGTACAGTTAGTTAGACACTGTTTTGCACACCATTCTACCGCATACTGCATATAGTGTATATTATAGTCTTTATATTTTCTATCATATCTTTATAATATTTTTCTTTTACTACTCTCTCTTTGTATTTTTACACTTCTTTACTTTGTGCACTACATTTCCCCTGTGCTGCTGTGTCAACTTCAATTTCTCCCACAGGGTATCAATAAAGGGACATCTTATCTTATCTTATCTTATGCGTTCCTATAAATCTTCATCTTGTGTCAAGCCATGTTGTGAAAGTCAATGATATGCATTGCAGTAAAGAGAAGTGTTTCAGCTGACGTAGGTGATTTAAGACCTGAGCAAATCACTCGCTGACCCCCTGGTCACCCCCAGCTTCTGCTCCCGACCCACCTTGAAGATCAGAGATAGCTAACAAAGCATTGAGTCCTGTAATTGATGATAATGACATATATGTGGAGCAAAGAGCACGTCCTCAGCTGTCACTGGGGAATGACTTAACCAGCACATTGTTCTTGCACCCTAATGGAAAGTGTGGGAGAACAGCTCTCTCTCTCTCTCTCTCTCTCTCTCTCTCTCTGTGTGTGTGTGTGTGTGTGTGTGTGTGTGTACATGGTCAATAGTCATTAACCTGTAGGTAGCTGTTAACATTGGCTTGATAACCTTAAGATGACTTCACTTCTCCAGTCATTCTTATCTCTCCACTCTACCTCTTTATGTGCATCTTCCCTTCTTCTCTCTCACTTTTTCCTCTCTTCTTTTTACCTGTTTTATCATTCCTTCACTCTAAGCTCTTATCTTCTCTTTTTGCGCTCCTTGCAGCATTGACAAAGGTCAGTCCATTCCCGTGTTCTTAAACCATGGGTCACAACTGGGTTTGAGTGACGTCCTGCCATTCTATCGACCCTTTTTGCTCTATATTCCAATAAAAGTTGAGCAAGCCTCAGTCAGAACCTCGGTCAACTTTCCCCTTTCCTCTACTTAGATATGCTATGTGCTAGGCTTGATACTGAAAAGACACTCAGATCAAACTGTCAAACTAGGAAGTGCTGATCATATGAATCAACTACTGTTTAGCTGTAATACAAGAATGTGTGTGACCAGGCGAGACGCCATTGTTTCCTGCTATGGATGAGTTGAAACTGCACAGCCAATGAGAGCAGCTCAACTCACAGTACGTCACCTCCGCTGGCTCCAGACCATAATGACAACCATAATGCCAAACTCAAGGCTTCAGAATGGTCCTCCACAAACCAATGGGTAACATCATGATAGGTTCACAATTGGTTGTTACTATTAAATTCTAGTAAGAGGCCTGAAGTCAAGAAAAAACAAACAAATAAACTAGTATTAAATGACCCAAAACAAATTTGGTATTTCCGTTTCCAAACTTGAAGATACTTGAATCAATGAGTAGGCCTAACCAAGACGGGAAGCCTTCATGCTATATTTGGTGCATGGCCAAACCCTGGGTGGGAACCAATCAAGCCACAGGCATGGCTGTGGTGAGTACTCAATGTGACATGTTAACAGCTTGTTGTACTCTGCAGGAGTCCCTGGGTAACCCTGAATTAACTCAATTTGGAACCATGGGCTGAAATGTTTTCAAAACCCTGCGCTGAGATGTATAATTCATATTCTTTAGATTTACAGATACTGAGGGAATACAGCTGTAGACTGGGATAACAAGCTAAGAAAGAATTTAACATTCAACATAGTGGGTTTTTTTTCAACATACCACTTTTTTTTTCTGTCACACTTTATTTTACTCAATGTCTTATTCTGTTTCCATTCACCTGTCAGCAAATAGGCTATAAAATGTTTAGAGGTTTAGGCAAGGTGATAAATGAGTTGTCTATGTGATCACTGTATGCATGTGAATAAACCAATGACTAATGCCTACAACTTTTCAAGAGTCAAGGAAATGTATTCATCATTATACAACACAAGGCTGTATATTGAAATGAAAGTTTGTAGTTCCTTCATGCTTGCACACATACACACACACACACACAGATCATAAAAGAAAAAAATGAACATAATCACATTTTTAAAGCCTCTGACTGAAAACTGAGACCAAACACACACACACACACACACACACACACACACACACACACACACACACACACACACACACACGACAGTTGTGTGTACTTAAGAGGGATTAGTATGTGTGTTTTTTTGTATGTGTGTGTTTGGGTATGTGTATCTGGGGTAATTCATAGGTAAGACCCTCTTTGAGAAAGTCATGTTGTGCAAGTCAAAGTCTATTAGACACAGAGTCAGATCTATCAGCAGGTTCTGGACAGATCTATTAAAAGGCCTGGAATTCATATCACAACAGCACAGACAGTGTTAGCACAAAGACTGTGATGGGGAAAAGCCTGCTGCGGCTCCTGGGGGAGCAGGAATCAGCAAGAGGGGAAAAGAAAAATATATTTTCACAACCTGTGAGTAGAGAGAAATGGCTTTCAGGTCATGATACATGCACTCTGATGGCTCCAGTGGAGGAATTTCTTAAAGGATGACTTTGAAATGTCAACACACCTTGCTGATTTTGTGCATACAAAAAGCCAATTTTTCACCACACTCCACTCAATTCAACTCTTTAAACTAAAATCTCCCACAAACAGTAATACATTCTCTGTGTTTTAGCTTCCTCATTCAAATCAGCACATATATCCCTTCTTACCTGGAATATGGCTATCCAGGCATAGCCAATGTTGTCAAAGTTGACAGCTCCCTTGTGAGGGTTGATGTCTCCGGGGCGACACACATTATAGTACTGATTCCAGTTAACACAGCCGTTAACACCCACCACAGGGGCCGATCCAATCAGAGCTGAATTTTGGTGGGAAGCAGCCAATGAGCACTCTGCACCGCCCTCGGTGTAGGCCGGCACATCGTGGCAGCGCAGCATCCCATTCTCGCGGGCAGCCGAGCAGATAAATGGGCTGTCTTCACCTTCCTCGGACATGTAGTAAAGACTTATGGACAAGTTGTACATCCTGGATGGAAAAGGAATAACAAAAACAAATAGCTATTTAGTTATATTACACTGTTTATGGATACATTTAGCTTCAGGATATATCATGACCTTTTTTTGTGTTTGTTTTAAAGATGTTTTGCTTGTATGTTTTTGCTGCAAGTTCTATAGTAGGTTATATTAGCAATATACTGTAGATACACTAAAAACGCACTGATGTCCAACTGTGACGAATGAATCAGTCTCCCACTACAGGAAAATAGAATTTACAGTAATTTGTGATCATAAGCAGGACAGTGGTTTATTCTTTAAGTTATACTGATTTGTAATCATTCAGAAATGGTTTAGTGTGTGCCTAAGGGTTTGAAAGTGCTTTTATAGAAAAGAGAAATACACATATCCTCCCTAGGACCTTGACTGCAACAGATACAAATCATTTGGCTTTCCGGGAAAATAACAAAATATTGCTTGCACCTCTTGCACTGACTTTCTATTGATTGTATTGTACCCATATGCAGAATCAGATTATCCTTTGTGCTATAGGTGAGCTCCCACAACAGTGTTATCAATGAGGGTGGACATATCATTGATCTTATGAAATCGGCACACATCCAATCACAGATGTTATCTTTGAATTTGCCACAAAACACCTCCAGCAACAACGACCAACTACTCCCACACTATTTTCACACTGTATCAAGACTGTGTGTTCTCTTCTTCCACAGCATCTCAATGATTTCCACTCTAATCATAAATCCTCTGAACAACAGACTAATGGGGTAGATTAACCTTCTGTCTTTAAATTGCTCAGTTGCTCAAAAATCAAAATGAAGCTTCAACCATTAAGGCAAAATGTGTTAAACATCTTCAGTGGAAGCTGTGGACAGTGTAACTGCTCACTTCTATCTTAGCTTACATGAAGTTACTACTTAGGTATGGCTGATTTCCTTTCGTCCTCATTGTAGCCAAAACTGCAGTTTGTTAAGGGCTTGGGAAGTAGCTTTTGCAGCTTGTAATCCCCAGAAACAAATCTCTAACATCTAATCTTTTAATTTTAATCTTTTTGTTTTGATCAAAACCGTCACTACCCAGTTAATTCTCTTCACACATTCACTTCACAGAGGGGAATTCACAGTTACGCTCAATCTCATTTTGGCCACAACATCCACTCCTCCTCCATTTGTGCATTCACATGTAGGCTTTGCCAAATCAAGAGCTATCCCAGAGTGGAAGTGGACTACCAATCCCTCCAACAATGAGTCTGCATTGGTGTTTATTGCTGGAAACCAAAACTAGAGGAATAGAAACTCTCTCTTGCTACTTAGTGAAATATGATTTTGTTCATACAACATTCTCCCTATACTGTCTTTTCATGGTGAGTTTAGACTTAGAATATCTATGAATATGTAGGAAGTAGAATGAAAAAAGCCACTTTGTCCCTTAATTTATTCAACTAATAAATACAGTTTACACACTTTAATTAAAAAATGAAAATATTATACACTTAATAGCACATCTGTATGCGTACTATTTTGCATTTAAAGTGAAACAGCACATAATAACTCAAAAAATGAGTGAGCAAGGCATCTATCTGTATCCATGGTGACAGCTGTTTCATGGTAGAAAATGCTGAGTGCATCCCACAGTTTACCTGCTTATTTATACCCTCCTCTTTAAAGTGGAGAGTCCTCCATAACAGTGAGTGGGCCTTTATGCGGAGTGACATTCACTCTTGAACTACTAGTGGGGAGGGACCAGTTTGGGAAAGGATCATCTTACTCTCTGCCAGAGTGTCTAGTGGTTGACTCCCATTATGTTCCAGCCATTCCTGTCCTTTTTTCCCCTGTAATCTGAGTCATACTGTATAAAACATGTTAGTGTCCTTATGATGTCTAAAAACTAACGGTAGAAAGAGATAATGCATGAGGCTGAGTGTGTGCACATAGTATACTGCAGTATAGTCAGGATTCATATTGTACTGGAGGTCAGACAGTCATTTGTTCTGTGAGAGAAAACACAGCATCCTTGGCTATGAAATATTAAGTCGCTGTTCTCTTTCTGTCTTTCTCTCTTACACACAGCAAGGATTCAGCAACATGAACTCTGGTACAATTTGTACCATTACATCAAAAACAGAATTAGTTCAAGGATGTTGAAGGGACATTTTTGGCTTCCTGCGGTTGTGGACATTGAAGCAGTCTTTCTTTCTCTTTCGTATAATTTCAGGGCCCGCGGCTGAATTGGTGACTCTGATGCCTGTTCATGTGTTTGTCTTCTTAGGGAGATAGTGGTTGTTTGTCTGTTGCTCTTGTCTTGTAAGACATATCTTGTCCTATTTACCACAAATAAGATACATCTGGGAGAACAGGCTTATTTAATGTTTTCATAATGTGCGCATTGTAAAAGGAAATGCAGCTTTGTCATGTCATGTTTACCAAGTTTGCACCTTGTCAGAGTTTTTGGGTCAGTCACAATGTAATTTGCCAATTTGTCAACCAGGATACATGTTAAATCTATTTTGTAATGTTAACATTTCATTCCCAAGAGAGAGAGTGAAATGTTTCCTTCCGTTTAGTAATTTTCATGGATTTTACATCCAAGGTAGTTATCATGTTTGGCCTGTTCAATTATCCTGTCCACAAATTTAAATTATTTTTTCTGTGTTTGCCTTTTCTGGACATTTATAATTTAGTTTTCTTTGGGTTCACAGTCACATCCCACAAGCCTACGTTTGAAAAAATGTACTGTAATCTGTTCAACCTTTACTTTATCTTCATCTTACGACAGGAGAATCACATCATCTGCAAAGAGGAAGAGCTTAATTTTTTCATGTAGGTGTTTTAGAACTGGTGCATTGGAATGTACTCATTACTAAGTTAATAACTTATATAATTTTAGTTTATGTTAAATAACAACCTCATCCCCCTTCACATTTCTATCTTTTTCTTCCTCTCATTGCTTCTCCTTGTATGTGTGTGAGGCCATACGGTGGTTTTTATCCTGAGGGCGTGATGCAGTTTGCGTACTCGAGCAAGTAACATTCTGTATTCTTGCTACAGGCAACAGCTGACTGTTACACCCTATGACAACTCAACACAAACTCTAACAAGAGAGAGCAAAAGAGAGAAGCAGAGAGAGAGAAAATTGAAGAAACAGAAGGAGAGGGAAGAAAGAAAGATCATTTTTGAGTTAAGTGAGCTGAGCATATTTGAAGATTTCATGTGTGAATGCTGGAGGCAGTGCTGGTCACCATATGTATGTGGAAAACAGCACTTGCAAAGCATGGTGGATTTTTTCTGTTTGGGGGAAATTAAAAATTGACTGCAACTTCTAATTCTACAGATGGAGCTTGTATTTTCCACTTATCTCTGTTTTGTTTCTACTCAAGTAAAGAGACCTTGAATCAGATCCTATTCTCGCCAAAGTGCTTCTTCCCTCAAATCTAATATAGATTTGACCACAGTCTTGAAGAGGCAATTTCTTGGAGCCATTTGTGCTACTTTCAGCCCAGAAGAAAAGGATCGAATGCAAATACTTTTTCACAAGACCAAATTCCTTACGTTCTGATGTCCTCTCCCAGGAAGCAGCGGTTGCGCAGTAGCCCCGCCCACAGCTGGACTCCAACAATGCCGAAGATGAAAAACACAAAGAAACAGAGGAGGAGGACATTACCCAGCATGGGTAGGGTGTCCAACAGCAGTGTCACCAAGATGCGCATACCTAAATAGTGGGACACAAAAAGAAATTAGAAGTCAGAAAGTTTTACTCAACAGTTTTTTTATGCGTAAGCATATACATACACGTTTAAAGTTCACATACATGATTGACAGATGAGTTTTGCATGCGGTGCAGCAGCTAGCCTTTTACTGACCCCCTAGTTATAGTACACCCTGACCACCTCTATTGATCTTGTGAGCATGGAACCCACAACTTCTTCCCCACAGCCAATATAATTACAAGTGATGACAATACTGAAAGTGACAGTTTGACGTTATTTTATCCTCTGGGAATTTGAACTCACAGCTTCCCCGTGGCTAGTATTATCTAACCACACACATTCAGCATCCATCTCCAGTTGTCAGATGTGTTTAGCGTCAGCAGAGTTAGGGATCTACTCCCTGAGGTCCTCACAATGTGTTCTGGCCCCTTTTCACTTTTATCGCAGCCTTGTCACATTGACCACACATACGGTATGGCAATTCCATACTTTTTCTGCTGCTTTTGACAGTGGCAATGATATTTAAACTCTCGGTCTGTTTTTTGTAAAGTATGTGACAGCCAGGCAGGTCTAATGAGATGTGATCATGGTTTAGGGGTGGAATAGAAACCAGAAAATCATACTTCTGGTCTGTTAACTAATTTAATATCCATTTTCAATCATTGTCTGATCACCGATCTGTCTCTTACTATCTTGTGTTGTGACTGAGATGTTCAACTTTTAACATACCAGCCTTTTTATATCTCTCAACTGGGTATTCTCTTTTGCTCTTTACAGTTTCTCACAAAATAGAGGTTACACAGAGGGGCAAAATAAGAAAACCTTACACAGACTCTAATGATGCACAATTTTCATCATAAAACTGAAGAAGAGCAGAGTATGTCTGTGTGCATGCTTGAGGTAGACAGCAATACTCTAGAGACACTACAACATTGTTGTCTATTAAACTCACTGAGTAAACAGCACACAGATGCCTTACTATAGAGGCATCTGTGTGCAGTGAAATCTGCTCATCAAACACAAACATTTGACAGCATCGACATCCCCTAAGCAGAATACTAATGGTTTCTCCATACACCATTTTGGGCATGCAGGCATGATTTATTATATATGCAATATGCTAAATTCTTTGGTTAGAACAGTACAGAAAGAGGTTAAAAAAAACACAAATACATTTAAAACTAGATTGGCGTTGCGTTCACTCCCAGAGTATAACGCTCTTTGTTAAAGGTAGGTTTAATTAAACTAATGCAATCGAATGGGGCACAAGTGGCAGAGCATTAGAAAAAAGAATGGCCATATATCTAGCAAGTCATGCCACTGGGATAAGTTATGTTTCCTCAGGCCGGAATGTCTGAAAAAAAAGAAGAAAAAAAAAAGCTTTCATACTGCCAGGCAATACACCTTACTTTAGCCAGCAGGAAATTGATTGGAATTGAATGTTGTTGAGAACAGACAAAGAAAAAGATTTTAAATATAAGAAAACTGAATAATCCTCAAATATGTCAAAATGTTTTTTACCCTTTGAGATGTTGTGGAGGATTGTTGACTGAGGTCTTAATCTATGATAAGATCTTGTAATAAATTGCTTATTAGATTAGATCTGAGAGTAATTAAATATTTTTATGTAAATTGTCATTGGTACTGCAGGAATTTAATCCAGTTATAGCAGAATATGTGCAATGAACCTTTGGGGTGGTATCTGTGAATAAGCATGGGAGCTGTAGCTGTAGTTGTATGCTGAGTATATTTTAATTGCACAAGTGCAACAACATGTGCAATGTGTAAGGTCTTGGGCGCACAGTGTGTGTGGGCGTCTCCAAGCACACCTGCTATTCTGCTTCCTGTGTAACAGCGCAGGGTGAAGTGGAATATAGATCAGAGGGTGTGGTGAGTAATAAGAACACTCTCCTTTACACCACTGACCTCTTCCCCCTGAAACAGCTGTGCCAATCACATGACAACAGCAGCTCAACAAATGGAAAGACATTTCTTCAGGAAATCAAATTGTTGTCATATTATTATCATATTCTACAATGATGATAGAGATAAAAAGCAAAAAGTGTTGATGAAGACGTTTATATGACCACCTCAATCCAGCATTGTTTCACTTTTATTTATACTGTATAAATGGTCAAATAATATCAGAAAATGTGACATAGCAGCATCCGCACTGTTTCTTATTTCCAAAATAAAACATGAAATGCTACTTTTAGTTAAAAGAACATTGAACAGGAGGCAATGACACACAGGATTACTGAGCCCCTGTAATCAGAGTTATAGCTGATGTTTGTAGAGGTGTGTGGGGTTAGTTTGTAGCAGCCTGGTGGCACTTCCCAAATCGCATGACGCAGATTCATCAACATATCCGTCCTGCTGCCTTCGTATGTCTGCAGGGATTTAATGAACTAAAGGAGGAGCTTTTCGTACAGTGCAAAGCAGCTGTGCACAGCTGTACTGTTAGAATAATTGATATTCATTATAAATGCAGACTGACTTACCAGTGTTTCCACTTTAAATTGTTGGTGTAGATTTAAACTTATCTACTAGTTGGAGAGAACTTAATTAAAATGGTTTATTTACATTTTAAGAATTATTCCTCATTTCTGTGCATTCGCTCTGTGCTGGTTGCTGCACCGCCATAAAAATAGGACCCAGGGAGTGCTGCTCACTGTATCTAGGCTACAGCACAAAAACACATTTAACATCTGTCTAACAATGGATACTTCCCATCCACTTAAGCAGCAAGACAAACAGAGAGACAGAGTAATAGCAGAATGGTTAGAGACAAACAGAGACACTGAGTAATAACTGTTTAACCTGGCTATTAGCCTGGCTTACAAACACTCAAAAGAGAAGAAAAGATGAGATGGACTGGAAGAGATTAAAAAAACAGAGAGGAAAAATTAAGTAAGCTGGTGTTAAACATCTTCATGGTGCCTCTGACTGTGTATACATGTGAGTATATGAGTCTGTGGGCTTTGGAGTATGTTTGTATCTGTCTGTTTCTACACTGACCTTCAGTTTCCAGCCCCAAGTAATACCTCTCACTGTCACCCTCATTGCAATTCTCTCCCTCTTTCTTCTCTCCATCTTCCTCCCTATGTCAGGCCCTCCAGGGAGCAACTGGAAACTTGTTACAATAATATAAGTTTCACTTCACCTTATCCATTGCTGTAAAGATTGTTTCTCAGGGCTACTGTTAGCTTAGCGATAAGGTTAATGTTACATTTTCAGTCCTCACAGAGGTAGAACAAAACGATAAATGTGTGTGCGTGTGTGTCCCTGTGTATGAGACAGTTTGTGATGATAGCTTGAGAGAAACAGACAACCTGCCATGCTTTATGATTGTGTTTGGGTTTTCTGCAGTGCCCACAGCACCCACACACACCCACACACACACACACACACACACACACACACACACACACACACACACACACACGCACACACACACACACACACTCACACAAACTGAAACCCACCCACACACACTTGTACAAACGTCTAAGGTCATCATTTACATAGGAGAATGTTAGGTCAACGTCTGTCACATGCTAAAAACTGTCTTATTCTGGGACAATGGGGTCACCATTCAAATAGACACAGACACAGTCTTTACAATGCAGCCAGACAGCAAGCAGACATCTATTACCCTTACAATATACTTAGTCAATATAGTGCAAATGCCATCCATGCACCAATAATACTCCCATGGGTTCTCCAATGTCGTAAGAATAGATTTTTTTAAAAATAAATTGTGTTCTATGAACAATAACATCAGTTTAACCAGTAAAACAAATTCAACAGGTTGATATGAGACTGTAACAGCTGTGTGTGTACCACAAGAAAGAAAGAAATGTTTAAAACACCGCCTATAAACCTTTTTAAGAGAGGTGTATTGATCAAAACGGCTACCGATACTGGCAGCCTGAACCTGAAAAACAGCTTGGCCGTCTGCCTAATGTACGCTGGTTAATAATCTTGTACGTTGTTATGACACCATTGTCTAGTGATCTTCTTTAACTGCAGATTCATGGCCACTTCTGTCATAGAGCTTTTAGGAAAATGACAAACTATGTGTAAGGTCTCACATTTAGCACTGGCGCGGTACTGTACAACCTCTGGAAATGAGATCAAAGCAAACATCAAGTCCTCGATCACTGGTCAACTTACAGACACCAAAATATTACGTTTTGTGCATGTACTTTTGCTTTTCTACCACTCAGTGCAAACTTGTTGAATGATAACAGGTGGCTAACATTACACAGCACGCTTTCACAGTAATCTTAGTGGAAGTGCTTCTAACATAGAGAGTTTTGTCTAGAACAGTGGAAAAATCGTGCAATATTTCTTTTCAAAACCTTTTCTGTATGGCTATAAATGAATGTATGCAGGGGCGGATCTAGAGAAATATTCATGGGATAGCAGAAGGTCGCATGGACACTTTAAGGCGTAGCAGAAATATATGCTGATTTCATTGTAAATAATCACATATATATATATTTTCTTATAAAAATATTACAAATACAAATGTATTACAATACAATTATAATAAATATTACATTATTGTAGCACATTGGTAAGCATTGAACAGACATATCTAAAAGTGGCATTTGAAATTTTTTTTTCTCCAAAAAAAGAACTTAAGCCTATCACTTTCTCTGTCTTAAATTTCAAAGCATTTGCCACCAAACTGGGGTGGCAGGGCATTTTCTAGCCACCCATCTAGATCCGCCCCTCCATTGGCAGCTAGAATACTAGAATAAAACCACCAAGGCTTTGGGTAACAAGTTCAATGAACCACTGTGGTGTTATCATTGAGCAAAAGAGCATTTTGCTGTGGGTGGATAAATTGTGCTCCTCGCTAATTGAGGAAGGTAAACCACCATGGCATTTACGAAATAAGCATCGCTGTAAAGGTTAAAACGTGGACTTACTTGGTACTCTGTTGATGGCCCGGAGTGGCCTGAGTACTCGGACGGTGCGGATGGCTGACAGACTGGCATTATGGCCATCCAAAGAATACTCCATCACCCTGAAGACACAGACAGAGAAAGACAGGAGGAGAGAGTTTTCCTTCATATTCTGTACATACACACACACACACACACACAGATTGATCTACACGAAGCAACAACAAGAAAACTAACACCAAAAATATAATAATGCTCATAATGGCAGCTACCCACATAATTACCGTACATGTGACATTTAATTACATAGAGTCAGAAGCTCTTTTTCCTCTGTACAGTCTATATAGCAGCACCCAAACATCATTAATGTGACAAGTAGGCAGAGAGAGACAGTTATGGTCTGTGATTGTGCTGGCTGTGTGGAGGAAGTGTGTGTGGTCATACTGGTTCAGCCCTTGGAGCGTGGGAGCATCTAAAGGAATGTCTACTGCTGATTGGGTCCTGCCCTCGCCTCAACTTACAGAATATAGTGTTTCCAGCCTTTTAGTCTGGGTGTGTAGCTGACAGCAAGAGACGCTCCAGTCTCCAAATTATAAGTCTTGGGTACCTACAAGTGCATTTTGAGGCAGCTCAGGTTGCTAAATATTGCACTGAATATCTCTTATCTTGAAAGAAGTGGAGGTTAACTTTTTAACTCTTTCATGTTCTCCCCTCCTGTCTTTGTTTACTTTCAGTAGGATCAGTTCAGAGGCTTTTTATCAACCTAAAGGCGTTCTATAAGGTGCCATTAAACACACAACAAATGGTTCGACTGCAGCATTGTAGAGTGGCGAGGCCTGGATGCTGCACATATCCACACTAGGGCTGAAACAGAGACATAGAGAAAAGGCAGCACGTCTACGTAAAGGACACTTCTATTTTGAGCATGACAGGACATTGTGAGGACACACAAACAGACACGGAAACACACCCACAGGCACCAACACATGCACCTGTATCATGTTAACCAAATTCCCTCCTGAGGCAGAAACCGGTGTGTGTCAAGTCAAGCTTATTCATGTAGCCCTTTTAATACGACAGGCATAGACTCAATGTGCTTCAAAATAAAAAGCAATTAAATTTATTCATTAATTTAAAAAATGGCAAATATCATACTTGACAAAAACATATAGGATAAGAACATAAGGTGGTATTATTGTATTATTATTATTATTATTAAAAACGGAATAATGATAATAATACTTCCAAAATAAAAATGTTACTCATTATCCACACACTTTAAACCTAAACTAAAAGCTTGTGAAAAATATATATTTTTTAAACTATTTGTGCATGCTTGTTTATGTGAGACTGCATTTGTGCTTGTCTGAGTGTTATTTCAAATGAAATGTTATTTTATTGTAAGCAGACTGCTATTGTCTAGCATGAGTGAAAAAGCATTGTGGGATACTAACCCTGCCATGACGATGACAAAGTCAAGCTGGTTCCATTTGTCACCAAGGTAACAATTGGGGCCAAAAATTCCCAGAGCCACCATCTTGATGGCCATTTCCACAGCGAAGAAAGCAAAGATACAGTCGTCCAATACCTGAGGAAACATGTTTAAAAATACAAACATACACACAGAAAATTAATGTTTAACACTGACAACAATAACAACAAGAGGAAATTGACTTCTTGTCAAGAGAAAAAGGTCAGGTTCTTGTTAAGTTTCCTCATCAATATGGAGACACACTTTGAAAGAAGCTGCAGAAGTGCCAGTGGAGGTTGTCTGAAAAGAAAGTCTTGTCTCCATTAGTTAGTTTCATCCCAGCAGGGAATAGCTCTGGCTTGGCATGGTTATGGCTGTGTCGCAATTAATTAGACATCTACCGCGGTAAAAAGAACGTCTGTATTTGAATATAATGAGCACATCTCGCTGCGCCAAGAATCAACATTACTCCATGTTGAAACAAATGAGACAAGAGAATGAATGAAAGACATTTTCATTACCATTTATTTTAGAATTGGGTTTCTTCATTATTGTTATTTCTCTTCCAGTCTCTTCACAACAACTTAAAGCAGAATGTGAAAGCAATCTCTGGTGTAAAATAATCATTTTATTTACAAGTTTTGAGCAGAAGTCTTTTACATCTCTTAAAAATGGCCCTATGAGTAATGTTACTTATTCACTAGCACCCTGACTTAGATGGTTAAGTAAAAATCAAAACATGGCACATGACTTTACAGTGACAGGTGCTTATGTAAAAAGAACCTCAAACACGTCACCAAGGTAATTAACACATTTTCCCATGCCATTACTAACAAATAAAAACATATTTAGTGCCCACTTTACCCATGCCCCGGCACAGTTAACTAGCCTTATTTAAATCTGGTGTTACAAACAGTACTGAGGCAAAAAACTGAGAATGTTAGTCATGTGTTTTCATGGAGGAAACACAGATGCTCATGGACCCAGTTACAAGGGTGAGGGCGTTACACTCACCTGAAGGATGCGGCACCACTCTGACTGGCAGGCGACGTCTTCACAGGGCTGGAACATCCCCAGAGTCACACAGTTGAGCAGGATCACCAGCATGGACACATGCTCGAACCACGTGCAGGAAGAGGTTAAGGCCAAAACAAACGCGATTTCATTTTTAGGTCACTCCAACACAGGGTGTAGGATTACATACTTAACATGCTAAAAAGAACAAACAGCTTATTGTGTATATAGCACTGTTCATTCAAGGGGAGATACAGTGTGCTTCACAGATGACGACTATATTCTGTCTGCTTTTAAATTACATTATTGTTGCATCCTCATAGCAGGGGACAGTTTTTCCTGTAACACTTGTAACCACAGGTGCATTCGTGGCAGACATGATCAGGTCCAAACCACACGCAGGAGCAACATTGGTCCAAATAGACCTGTCGGGGGACCTGGCCGTCAGAGAGTCGACACAAGGAACAGAACGCTTCCTTTCCTGCACATCTACATCATATCTACATCACCTAGTGGACTGAAAAAGAAAAGCCATAGTGTTAGTTTTCACTATTTCTGCCTGAAATGTGTATCCATCTTGAGTCCCTAATTGTTCCTCTGAATGAGCAGGCTCTAGGCACGCTTGAGGGCAACTGGACGGAGGTCATTCACTAGACTCGACTTAAAATTGGTTATGGCTCAACAATCAGGAAAGACAGTCCAGAGATTCCAGAGTTCCAGTCAATAAAAGACCAAGATATAATATAAGATTCTAAGATATAGAAGCATACGTAAGAGGCAATGAATCCTAGACAGAAATCAACCATGATCCAGTATGTGAGTAAACAAACACCCCGCCAACACACTGGAACCGGATGCCAATAAGAGTTTTGTGTGAGCCTAATGCACATAATAGCTTTAATAATGACCCAGTGGGCCTGGCTGTTAATCTGCTTAAAGGCCTTTTCACAATTCTTCAATAAACATTTTAATGGGTCCATGTCTACTGCACATCCTGTTGCATCATTTCCTAATATATATCAGTGACAGGATGAAGTTCTACACGTTTGTTCAGTATATTTTTTATTTGTGTGTGTGTCTCAAGATTTGTTTTGTGAAAAACCTCGGAGTCCTACTTTCTTGTGACAGGGAGGAAGCACAATTTCAAGGGTACACAAATGTCACCTCTGACCTGCCTGAAATAGCACTTGTGAGTAATCCTTTGTTGATTTCCTTTTTCTTGTGTTATCCTTTCTTTGTGCTTTTTTGACTAGCATTGAGCTTATCTATTTAGGACAAAACAGTGCAGAGGGCACATTCAACAGAGGATTTTATTTCTTTCTTTCGCTTATTTTAGTTCCTTTTCCATCCACATCATAAGCGCTCCAAATGTAATCTATCTATAAAGAATGGAGTCTTAAAAGTGTGGCCCATTGGTGCCTCGACAGACATTTGATGGAGATTTCTTTTTTATCTTTCCGGGTTTGTTTAGGAATTCCTTTGACATAGACGTAGAGCGTAGCGACAGGAACTAAAATTACACCCTCGTTTGACAAATCTGAAAAAGCCTTGGTTGGCACGAAAATCCTAACTTTCACCTTATTTGATTATTTTGCCACCAAAACAGAAAGAAATCTGGTAGAGATGTACAGGGGTACTGCCATGTATAACAAAGAGATACTCATTACTGACACCAGCTACACATGGGATGCTAACAAATTCATAAACCCATCATTGTAGCACTGACAACATGCTGCAGCATTAGGCGATGCCATAAATCAAACCAGTCTACGTAAACTAATGAATGTTAACTAATGAAATATATATGGAAAGTATATCACAGTGCTTCTGCAGTTGCAATATCAACACAAGAAAAAATAAAAGACCAAGTAATCAAAGAGTACAAAGAGAGCATGAGTGAGAGACAGAGATTGGAAGAGGGAAAATGACAAAGAGAACAAGAGCAGGGAATACTGTAGCTTTAAATCATGTCTCCTCAGGTAGAAAAAAAAAAGACACTGATGCTGCTGTTTCTCTACTTCAGTTTGGCTTTTGTCCCACACACATGCAGTGTTTTGGTGTGTGCACTGAGTTGTGGTATTGAAGTATTCCCAGGGTGAAGTACTGTTCTAATTAGGAAGGGAGTAAAAGCGGAAAACAAATGGTGACCACTGCCTTCTCCATTACACACACACAGACTTACATACAAACTTACAAAGTACACACGAAGGCAGGCAAATTACATGAAGTATACATCACACACACACACACACACACACACACACACACACACACACACACACACACACACACGCACACACACAATAGAGCAATTGGCACTCAATGCTGTGACCAGGGGCCAAGATAGAAGTTTGTATCAGCAACTTAGAACTTGTTTTCTCTCTAGTTTCCTATAGCAATGGGTACAACCTATAACTTAGCCTATACTGTACTAATAACTGCAAGTTTTCCGGTGAGCTAAATGCCCACAAGGCTCATCACCATGGTGCATAATGCATAGCACACAATGTTAATATTGAACTTCTTAGAACATGTCTTTAGCAAGAAACCCACGAGAAAACCATAAGACTGTGCTTCTGGAGGCAATACTTCCCTTGTGATCAGTAATGGAGATAAAAAGGGTCTGTATACAGTACAATGCCATACAACTATACACTGAGAATACAATTCAACAGTCTGTAGTTCCTGTAGATATGAATAGAAACATCTGTAAGGGAAGGGAACATTGAACACACAATTCTCAGGGTAATGAAGAGTCATGTGTAGATCTAAGGGGGATATAACAAAAAAACTATATCTCAATGCATAAGGCTTCCTACATCCTGTGGGTTCAACAGCAAATGTTGAAATGATCATCAGGTTATGCATGGAGTGGGTTTGATGGTATCTGACCTTTTATTTCATGTCAACTACTGACTAGAGACCAACATCAAGTGTTTAAGTCCATCTCAAGACATTTTAAGAATATTTGGACAGGGAATAACAACAGCAAACACTCCTTTGAAAATGAATTGGTTAAATTGAAGCAGTCTGCAGCAGCAATCCACTGGCAATTTCCTGCATTTTAGAACAAATATGTATTAAAAATAGCCTACTCTCTTTGCTCTGCTCCCGCCAACACATCATCTGTATGCCGGCCCATTTGCACGTCTGACAGAGGATTTCCTGAGCCCTGGCTAACACTACTCACCTATGTCAGGCCGCTTAATTAACCAAACCTGACAAGTCTGCAATGAGCTCTGCCAAAATGCCACATGTCTTTATTCTCCCTGCTGAGAAATGCTTCCCTTTTGTCCACCGTGAGGGAAGTGAAAGATCTTGACCTCCTAAAATATACTATTACATATCTAGATCAATTAAAGCTTAACTATGTTATTTTAAATGCATCTTATGTCTGTCCAGGGCTGCATAAACCTCACAATGCTCATGCTTCTTGTGTGTATATCTCCTGTTTCTCACAAGTTGGTGCGATGATATTGTGATACTAAGAGAAACTGTCTGCTATATTTCCAAAGAAAAATGGTGTCTGCCAAGCTCCCATTGCTACAGCACGCAGCAGCTGGATATTACAGTCAACAGAAGCAGTCCTACTGTGGGAGGCAGGAAGAATGCAAACCCTGCCGCTTATCCTCTGGAGACACATTGAAAAAGAATGAGAGGGAGAAATAAACCAGGGGCAACTGAGATGTTAACATTTTGGAGGGTACAACATGTGTGAGTTATGAGTGGTATGTTAAAGGGGAAGTCCAGTTCAGAGGCCATGTTCACACAGGGAGCGTTGCATTATAGGCAGTAATTCTGCAGAAGCAATAACAGCTCTGAGGCATTATGGCTGTCGCCTGTGTTGTATCTACCCAGTCGACAAATGAGTTAGATGTGTATTTAGCTATTATATCAGTGTAAAACATGTATTGAAGTGCCCTCAGGGGAGTAGCAGCAAAACAATGTCAATATAATTGTGTTAAGTTACAATGTGTTGTGGGTATTAATGCCAAACAAAAAACAAATTTTTCAATCACATAGGAAATGCCTCGGGCCAGTCTGTCACTATACATGCTTCAAACAGACACACACACTAAGCCAACAACCTAAGGTTGATCCTTCCTTCAAAGATGAAAGATTCAGTAATCTGCAGCAGAATTAAAATGAGAGATCTGAATATTCAGAGAATTTCTCTCTCTCCTTCTCTTGTTGCTCTGTGCCTCCCTCTGCTCGGCTCTCTCTAATTCCACTTTAATCTCCACAGTCAACACCTCCTGAGCCCCCTTCTGTCTTCAGCTCTCCCACACACACGTACACACAAACACACAGTTGCATGCATGCATAGGCACACACACACAAGTCCTCCAAGTCAAGCCTGACTGTCGCTGCATAGAGAGCACGGCGTACACACTGGTTTGCGGTAAACAGAAAAACGACAAAGATCACAGTGTTTTTCAAAAATTTGTTTGGCTTCTGCCTCTCTCATACACACACACACACAACCACACACACACACACACAAGCTTGAATTCAGAAGTATAGTTATGTTTTCCCTATGTTGCTATGAGCAAGATCAAATATAGTGTACATTGGCAGAGACAAATCCAGCCTTGGCACACAACGCTGCTGGGTTCACTTCTTAAAGTCGACCTATGCCTCAGCAATAAAAGGTCTGTGTCTTGTCACACTGGATTTGGTGAATTATGAGTATTCATAAGTCTATCATGGGCGATAGTTCCATGTTACCATTTATCACCATCATCATTATCATTATTATTAATTTTTTCATAGTCCCCATGAGTTTTTTACCCAGTATGGTTATTTTGACCCAGTGTTAGACACAACATGATTAAGTTTTACCTTAAAACTTGTAAATTTAAAAAGAGCTAACCATACCATGTTTGTGTAAGTAACCCCACAGTAGGGTCACAACAATCTATTGCCTTGGATAGGGTAAAGTTGGGTAAAGTTAAAAGTTATTCGTAATTCGATAAATTTTGACCCAGTGACTTTTAGCGTGTACTAACTTTTTTGACTGGACAAAGCCTTGTTGTATGTTATTTTCTCAGGATGATTTTCCTCCACACACGGTAGTTTACTCTTATTTTCAGCATTAGCATTTTCTGTTGGC